ATTAGCATTTAATACGTTTAAGAAAAAATAACGGATATTAAAAAAATGATGGAAAATTCCTTTTTGGATAAAAACAAGGAAAAAATCTAAAGTAAATTTACAATTTAAATTTTTGAATAATGGAAGGACAATTTCTCCAAATACAAACAATTATATCAGTGGACGTACCAGCAAAATAAAACCTTTAAAGGTAACTTCAATTCTTTTCTCTTCATTTGGCTGTAAAATTCCAACACCAGGTTTGGTTGCAATCCTTTTTACAGTTTGTTTAAAGTAAAAAGCAATTGGTCGCCTAGATTTGTTAACAATCTTAATTTCAAAAAATAATTATTTAAAATTATTGAGAGATTTGAGGGAAACATAAGTAACTTTCCAGGCGTTAATCTTCCTGCATTAATAATTTGTCGAATAATTGCTTGATCTATTGAAGAAAAAGAGCGAGCAGGGGAAGGAGTAAATGAACGCGAAGCTAATTTAATTTAAAATTTAATCTAATTTAAAAATTTTCGTGTGATCAGACGAGAAAAATGGCTTCTCGTTCATTTACTCCTTCGCCTGCTCGCTCTTTTTCTTCAATAGATCAAGCAATTATTCGACAAATTATTAATGCAGGAAGATTAACGCCTGGAAAGTTACTTATGTTTCCCTCAAATCTCTCAATAATTTTAAATAATTATTTTTTGAAATTAAGATTGTTAACAAATCTAGGCGACCAATTGCTTTTTACTTTAAACAAACTGTAAAAAGGATTGCAACCAAACCTGGTGTTGGAATTTTACAGCCAAATGAAGAGAAAAGAATTGAAGTTACCTTTAAAGGTTTTATTTTGCTGGTACGTCCACTGATATAATTGTTTGTATTTGGAGAAATTGTCCTTCCAATATTCAAAAATTTAAATTGTAAATTTACTTTAGATTATTTCTTTGTTTTTAGTCCAAAAAAGAATTTTCCATCATTTTTTTTAATATCCGTTATTTTTTCTTAAACGTATTAAATGCTAATTCAATAATAAAAGTTTTTTTGTAGGAAAGAAATAATTCGAGGGAATAAATACTTTGATTGTTGGAGGAAATTGGTTTTGGAAAAAAATCAAAATTTGTTTGTGTTGTTACTTTTTTGGGATTAAAGCCGGATTTTGTGTCTCCTTTTTTGTTGTAAAATAAGGAAGGAAGGGAATATTTTTATATAGAAATTTTATATACCATAATTAGAAACATATATCCTTCAATATTATTAGCAATTGATCCTGTTTGAAGCATCGAAGACGTCAATGTGAGAGAAGAGTCAGAGCTGGTCGTTTCTGTTCTGAAACAGACATCTTTTCCAGTCTGAATAATAGAATTTAGATTTACTCATTCTCTCATAAAAATTCCTAGCCCCCATTCTCCAGGTCGGAAAAATTTTAAAAATACCCTATTTTTGCGTATACAATACCAACAAAGCACGATGAATCCAAGCAAAAGGTTCAGGATCATATTTAGTAGCAAAAACTTCCAAATCTCCATCTTTGAACAAAAGCATTTCACGATAACACTTCAAAAAATAAAAAATTTTGTAAGAGAAAATTATGTTAAATTCCATACTTTATTTATGTAACGCATTTCCAATTTAATGGCAAATATTTTCTGATCAATTCTCAATTCCAAAGGAGGGTCAGAACTATTTGTTGACAATTCAAACACTTCCCCCATCACCAAACAAAAAGAACCACCATATTCCGCAACATATAAACGCGCTTGAATTAGAGCTTTCCAAGAAGATGTGGGTAAACGACTGAATGGCTTGACTTCCAAAACGAGACGTTCAATGTTCTTTTTGAAAAAATAAAGAAAATTTTAAGTCAGATTTAATTATAAGGGTACACCCTTGGGGATTAAAAAGTCGTCGCTTATAATGAGGTTTACATTAAATAGAGGGTATCACTTAGGCAGCTTCTCCATCCCCTTCCAATGACCAACCCAAAAGACCTGAATAAATGTAGTTATATTTAATAGAGGGCTTCACTATTCCTTAGGCAGCTTTCCCACTCAGTGACCAACCCAGGATTTAAAGAACGTCTATAAATGGAGGTGCTCTTAGAGGAGAGACCCCACCTTTATATTACTGAAGACCCGCCTGTATAACAAATGCAAATTACCTCATCATTATTAAATTTGCCATCATAACGCTCGCTTCGTTTAACAACCAAATCAACATTTTTAAGCTTAAAGCGCAGATTCTCCTTCCCAGAACTACAACATTCATTAATTCCAGTAACTACTCCCTCTTTATTTAGTTGCAAAATAATTCCAACAGTGCGCACCCCATCCACAGAATTCTCGATTCCAACACCAATTTTGGCGTCTTTGATCGAATCAATACTAATCAGATGCACACCTGGCCATTTTATAATTTGTTTAATTTAAATTACCTTAAAAAAATTTTAAAGTTGGAAAAAAAAACAAAAAAAAATTCAAAAAATACGACAGTATACAAAATTTAATTTCCGACATTTTGCCAATTGGACACTTTGCCACAAACTTGTTTTATTTGTGTTTCGTCACAATTAACTGTCAGAGACTTGGTGGTAAATTGGAAAGGAGGGAACGTCTTTTTATGAGGATTGTGGCAAATAAAGAGTAAAATAGCCATAAATGCACTTGTTTTTGTTTCTGGTTTCCCCAACAAAAGAACGACAAAAAGGAAAATTTACCGTATCTCGCTAATTACCTAAATACTGTTTCATTTTTAATTTTTTGCTTGAGGCGATTGAAGGTACCTAAATCCAGGAATGTGCCGAAACTGATTTTAAAAGCCAAAATGTGAGTATGTGAGAGTCAATTTAAAAGAGGGAAACATGAAAGGCAAAAGTCCAAAAATGGCGAAATTCTGCCAGAAGGCACACACCTGTCACTTACCTCTCTGATGTTGCTCAGTCTGAGAGGAGTGACGTTATATAGAAATTATGTGCCAACAAAATTTTAAAGGGGGTCACGCGTAAACCCCCCAGCCCAAAAATTAAATGAAACAAAATCTTCGATTTACATATCAGTTTGCAAATTTATCTACATAAATAAAATACTAAATTAATTTTTATATATTATGCAAAAATTTTTTTTCTAAAAATAATTTTTGAAAAATTATTATTTTTTTGATATTTTCTTTCTTTAAAGTACTAAATTGGTAAAGAATCACTTTTTATGGTAATATTAAAGCGTATAGACCCCCTTTTTTCATCCCCAATTTTCCCCATATATGATTTCCCCACATATTATTTTCTATCAAGATTTTTAGAAAATTTTATTCTCAATTAAAACTTTATTTGTTCAATTATTAATGGGATAAAAGTGTGAAATTTGTGCCGAAATGTTGTCAATTTTCTTTCCATGCACTACCCGACTCGCAATTAACGGCACTCGGGTTCAATGCCAATCAAACTTTGGTGTAGTACAGTTTAGTTAGCTCTGTTTATAGATCCCAAGGCAGCAAGTCATTAACATACGGAATACTACCAAGTAGATAAAACCTTAAATCTCTCCCTCCATATGTAAGTGCATAAATGCACGTGGTTGATTTAATTAGACCAAAACACCCTTAAAACTAACTGACAAATTTCCAAATTACGACCCTGTAAAAAACATGTTTTCTTTCAAAATCAAATTTATTTATTTTTATTAAAGTATGTGTAAATATATTAAAATTTAAGTAAAAATATGTATAAAAATAAAATAAAAATAAAGAGGTTAAGGGTACAGCAATTAGATTTTTTAAATTAAAATCCTTAATTTTCTGGGTGGCAAATGAGGATCATAATAATAATAGTAACAGTCTGACCTCGTTATAAGATACCCTCAATATTAGACCGGTTTCTATTTAGGACACGGTTAAAAAAAAGAGGAGCCTGGATTGAAAAAGCTGTACGAGGGGGCGTCTAAGCGGATACCCTCTATTTAACATATACTCATTATAAGAGACCTCCAATACTAGATACAACTCTATTTAACATACGCTCTTTAAAATGTGGTTGACCATAAGTAGGAGAAGCCTCCTCAGAGATAACCTCTATTTAATATACCCCTCATTATAAGAGACCTCCAATACTAGATAAACGGTAATATTCAATTTCGTTCCCCCCCTCCTTTTTCCTTCCTCAAATTATTAAAAAATGGTCAGTTAGTCTTAAATTATAGAACTCGTCGAGCTGTGTCGAATAACACCAAAATAAAAAAAATCCGACTTGATTTGACCAAAATACAGACCCCTAAAAATTGAAAAACCATAGGGGCGATTTTTTGGAATAAAAAAATTTTATGCAAATGATAGCTCATTCGAAAGAGCTCATCGAGCTGAGTCGAATGACACCAAAATCAACGTGATCAGACATGGTTTGACAAAGTTATGACATTATGTAGACCTAACGGAGTCGACGACTTATGTCATAACTTTGTCAAATTTTGTCCAATCGCGTTGATTTTTGTGTCATTCGACTCAGTTTGAAGAGCTCTTTCGAATGAGGTATCATTTGTATGAATTTTCGTCCCCATGGTTTTTCGCCCCTATGGTTTTTCAATTTTTAGGGGTCTGTATTTTGGTCAAATCAAGTCGGATTTTTTTGATTTTGGTGTCATTCGACACAGCTCGACGAGTTCTATAACTTAAGACTGACTGACCATTTTTTAATAATTTGAGGAAGGAAAAAGGAGGGGGGGGAACGAAATTGAATATTACCAGATAAACTCTATTTATCATGCGCTCTTTAAAAGTTGGTCACCCATTAGGTAGGGGAAGCTTTCTCAAAGATACCCTCTATTTAATATACACCTCACTATAGGAGACCTCCAATACTAGATACAACTCTATATAAGCTACTAACTTTAAAAGTTGGTCACCTATTAAGTAGGGGATTCCTCAGAGATACCCTCTATTTAATATACCCCTCATTATAGGAGACGATTTTTCCACAAAAAAGGGTGGGTATCTTATAGTGAGATTTGACTGTATTTTTTTAATATAATTTTTAAATACGATGTTGCTTAATTATAAATATTAAAATTTCTTTCATCTCCTTCATCTTCATCATTTTTTCTTCTCCTTTTTCTATTCCTTTCATTTTTAATCAACAATTTATTATTCAAAAATAAATTAATTAATAAAAATTCGTTCTCCTCTGTTGACATTTCTCTCGATTTCCTCATCTCCTTTTTTTCATTTAATCTTTCATTAATTAATTTCCAATTTAATTTTTGTAAAGGATGTTTTTGGAGTTTTTGATTTAAAAAATATTTTTCTTCGTCCTCCTCTTCTTCTCGAATATTTAAATGTGTATTTTCTAATTGCTTACAAACTCTTTCAATAAATTTATCCAATTTTTGTTTTAATTGAAGACGAACTTGGGAACGATAATTTGAGGATGTTGAACATGAAGGTGGTTGTTGTGTTGATAAATTTTGGTGGTTATTAGGCAAATTATTTAAAGGCTTCTTTTGTTGTTGTTGTAATGTAGAACAAGTAGAGGAAGAAGGCGATTCATTATTAAATCTATTTTTAGAATTAATTTATTTAAATTATAAAATTCTTTTAAAAATTAAGGGAATAATTCCAAGCAACAGGGTTGCAGCCCGAAACCCGAAGCCCGTACCTGAAGATTTTTTGTACCCGCGGCAACTCTGTCCAGCAATATTCATAAAAAAATTTTCTCAAAAAAATAACAAAAAATTAATTATAACTAAAGTTGTCGGTTCGGAACCGAACCGAGGATTAACCCTATAAGTATGAACTTTAATATTCAGAAAAATGCGAAAACCCTTCTTGTACTTATATTTAGCTAAATGGTTCTAATTAGAGATAGAAAAGAGGCGAGATCTCGTTCATAGAATCTTAGCCATGAGACCGAGATTATGCGAGATATCTTTCTCGGTCGCACATCGCCTTCAATCATTAAGTTCCTAAACATTTTCTGCTTTTTTACTCACTTTTTAGATAGACTTTTATTTGATTCCTCCTCCTCTCTCCTCAACTTTATCTTTTTTGTTAAATTTAATTTTTGTTTTTTAACTTCTTTATTTTTCAATTCTTTATTGTTTTTAATTGTTGAAAGCTGTAAACATTCAACAATCATTTCTTCCTTGCTTGTTGTTGCCACTTTTTCAATTTCCTTCTCTTGTTCTACTATATTTATTTCTTTAGCACCCAATGCTTTTGATTGTATCAAAGAAGTTAATTGTTTTAACTGGAAAGAATAATAAAAATAAAAATTTTTTGGCCCTATCTGAGCGACATTTGCGAACACCGACATTTGCGCACAACGACTACTAAGCCTTGATGTTTTGTAATTTATATACAAAACCCCGTGAGGAGTTTGTATTAACAATAAGCACTATTATATATATATGTAGCCAATGGTACTGGACATGACCTAATGTCCGTTAGTTCCAAGTTCCAACAAAGGTTTTAGTTTTGTTCGCAAATGTCGGTACGCAAATGTCGAAAACAAAGAGAAAAACTAAGTTTAGTTAATATATTTTATTTGTTTTAATATTTCTTTTTAATGCTCTCTTTTTAATTTAGTAAAATATTAGTTGTCAATACCAACAAAAAAAGTGAACGGGCTTAACATTTAAAAAATTGTACTAAAAATATTCTGTTGCTAAGAGAATAGGGGGAAAAATGAGAAAATATTTTTACTACAAAATTAAACGGCTTTACAAGAGAATACAATTTTTTGAAAATTATTAAGCCAAAAATACAAAAAAAATTTTTCAGCTAATAAAAAGCCACTTTTCGGGAAGAGTTTGGGCATTTCAAACTTTTATGGCATTAATTCATGACTTAATAATTTTACGTGGACGCAAGTCTAGCTTCAGAAAAATCCATAAAAATCAGGAAGACCCTTTTATTTTTTCTCTAATATGTCAGAGGCTATAGCTCGTCCCAAGTCCAAACTAAATCTCAAATTAAATTCCCGGTTTAATATTTTTTCTTCTCATTTTTTACAATTTAAAAAAATTTTCGACTTCAACCCAAGCTCCGATTCAAGCTCCCATTATTTCTTCCTTTTACCTGCTCTGGCGGAATACTGGAAGAAATACATTCGGCCAATTCTTGTAAAGTCATTCCTTGATGTATAAGTAATTCTTTTGTTGTTGATTTATTAGTTGATGTTGAAGGTTTTTGTTGAGGTTTTTCTTCCTCAACATCTTTGGATTTTTCTTCAGCAACATTATTATTGTCTTCTCCATCTAAGGAATCATCATGTTGTGAATTTGTTATCGGGATTAATTTTGGCATATCGGAAAAATCAGAGGAAGTAGAAGACTCGTTAAGTTCCTTTTCCTCCTGAAAAAAATTTATCTAAAAATTTTTAAAGAAGAGAATTGTTTAAAAAAGTCCCCTATCTACAAAAACCCGGTCTAATGCAGAGGTCAAAACTAAGTCTATGAAAGTCTAATCAAGATAATTTTGGCGTAGTTCGATGCATTACATCGAGCTGCGTCGGAAGATACTAGAATCAACTTTCCATCTTATTTCTACTCTTAGTTATGGTTCTGAGATGGATACGCATGGATACGGATACAAATAATATCAGGATACCTGCGGATATCCGCCCGTATCCGCAGTAAATATTCGGATATGGATATCAAAATCCGTGTCCATGCACAGGTCTGCAAAAATTTCAGTTATCAAGATAAAGATTTTTTCGAGATCTCGATTCTCGCACACATTCGCTTATTTTTAGAAATATTTTTAAAAGGCGAAAAATAAAAGAAAAATTGCGTTAAATTTTAATTTTCAATAATTTTTATTTTTTTAACCACCTCATTTTGTTTATTTAAATTATGTTCGTCTGATATATTTTGATGTTGTTGTTGTTGCCCAATTAATTGAGGAGGTAAAGCAGTACTATTATTTATTTGCAAAAATGTTTCTAAACAATTATTTTGAGTAAGTGCAATTGGAAATGCTGAAATTATTTTTCAAATGAAAAAATAAAACTGTTGAACTTATAATACAGTCAGACCTCGCCATAAAATACGCTCTTGGGGTAATCAAATTTGATCTCACCTATTCGGTTGTAACTTTTTTTAGGATGATCTGATCAAATCAATCCTGCTAAGTAAAATAACCCCCATTTTTAGAGCTTTCGATTGATATAAAAATTATTTAAATCGGTTAAGAATCAAAAAAGTTATGGCCCAAGATATGCCCCAAACAATGAATCGGCGACAAATTGAGGTCTATCGGAAAAATTTTTTATTGTTTCAATTGAGTATTAAATTAGATTGAGTGACCAAATAAGAGAAGACTATAAAAATGGAGGTATCCTAAATTGAGTGTATATTAAAAAGAGGGTAACGCTTAGGCAGCTTCTCCATCCCAAATAACCAACCAAATTCAAAAAACGTCTCCTAAACGGAGGTATATCTAATATTGGGTGTATCTTATAGTGAAGGTCTGACTGTACAATCCACTCCAATTTTTACCTAAATTAATTCCATGCCCTCCAAGCGAAGCACTAATTGATTCACAAGAACGGACCTAAAAAATAAGAATAAATTCAAAACACTCAAAAAACCCTCTGTACCTGTGAAGAGTATGGAGAAACCATTGGAGGTGTGTAAACAGAAGGGGGTGAATCAAGTGATTGAATTCCACTATCCGGGGTTGAAGAAATGTGTGAACCGCCGGGAAGTGGGACCAAATAAGGGCTCCATCCCTGCTGGGAATTGCATGTTTGTTGTTGTGAAATTAATGAAGGGATGACCGATACGGTTGAAATATTTGAAGAAGAATGCTGTTGTTGATGTTGGTGGTGTTGGTGGTGATCAGTATTATATTGGTGATTTGAAGAAATTGTTGTAGTAGAAGGATGATGAATATTATTATTATTAGATGTTGAAGGCCTTTGGATATTTGTATTTTTTGGAATTATACTAACAGAATGAAGTGATAATTGTTGTTGGGTGTTGGACTAAATTTAAAATATATTTTTAACAAAATATACTGATTACAAAAATTTTTGTTCGATTTTTAAAAATCTTGGATAGAAGGCCTTTGGAGGTGTATAAACAAACAGAAGGGGTGAATCCCAATTATAGGATCCACTCAAAGTTAGATGCCCATTCACTAGGGATACGTTTTTAATTCGAAAATCCAATCCGAAATTCTACCAGACTTTCCCCTTAACCGTCACACCCAAGTTGCTTAAGCAATACCCCTTAAGATAATTTTTTGATTCCAAGGGTGTAAGTCTAAGTTAAATTTGAAATTTTTTTAATTTTTCTTTACATTATCAACAAAATTCAACGGCGGCCTTTGTTGTTGAGTTATTAACTGCATTGGGGAGTTGCTTATTGGGATGTCACGTACATCCTTATTTGGTGATTGCATTTGGTGGCAAATATTATTATTGCTAGTAGTCGATTGCTGATGTAACCCAACACAATTACCATTATTATTTGGATTATACATATCCATATTTGTGTAAATTGGAGGTTCTGATTGGCTTAAAATTAATTAAAAATTAATTTAAAAATTAAATCCCTGTTAGAACAAAAATTATTATCTTCCCTTAGTTTTCAGTCAATTTTTTACTTTTAATCCGAGAATATTCCAAATTTAGATTTTACACAGTTAATGGATTTTTTTTACTTTTTTTAAGAAAAAATATTTTCTTAATAAGAAAAAAAGCAAATTCCTTTCTTAGTTATAAAAATCCAAAAGGATTAAATAATCCATAGAAAGTTTAGCTTTTACATATTGCACAATAAAAATTTTAAAGAAATTAAAAAAATTATTAGTCGAACCTCACCATCTGATACTCACTCCATGTATCCGACAAACAAATTCTACACTCATATTTTATAACCTAATCTTATCATAAACCGAGGAGTATTTAATGTTGGAAAGTTGTTTGATGATATCTCTTAAAAGGAGGCTATATCTTATTCAACGTCTTAAACAGAGTCAAACTAGAACTGAGAGTATCTTAAACTGAGGCTATACAATAACAATAAGGTAGCTAACCAAAATTTAAAAAACGCCTTTTAAACCGATTAGTATTAGGGGTAATTTAAACAGAGGTGTATATCAGGGCTGGGCGTAATGAAAAAAAATAAAATGCGAAATACGAAGCTTTTCGCGCCAAAAAATGCGAGAATGCGAAAGATGCGAAACGCGAAAGAGCGAAAAAGCCCAGCCCTGGTGTATATGGGACCTAAAAGAAGTGTAACTAAAACAGGGAGTAAAAGAAACCGAGAGTATTTGAAATCTAGTGCATCGTATGAGGAGGAGTATCAAAATCTGGGAGTGTCTTAAACTGAGGTATAAGAGTATCTTATAGGGAGATTCGACTTTCTACTTTGCAAAAATTCAATACCTAGGCAAATAATCCTCAGTAGTAATAACAGTCGAATTAACTAGCTGAGAAAGATCAATTTCGTGTAAATCCTCCCCAAGCATCCCTTCCGAATTACTTTGCTGATTTAATTGTTTAATTTTTTTATTATTTCGTTTTTGGTGTTTTTTAAGTTTATTTGGAGGTGTTTGGGGTAAAGGGGAGGAAGAAGAAGAATTTTTTTCTTCCCCCTTTTTATTTTCTTTTATTGGTGTTTTTTGTTGTTTTTGACACTTTTTGCTACTAATTGTTGCCGATTTTTGAGAAGGAGATAAATTAATTGATAAAAGACCGGAAGGAATAAGTTGTTGTTGTTGGGGGGCATCTAATGAAGTATTACAAATATTTGGAGAGGTAGAAATACTTAAATTATTAGTTGTTGTTTGTTGTTGGAATTGGCTAGTTGAGGGGATTTGAGGGGCCTGGAAAAAAATTTAAAAAAATTTTTTGATAGAAAAATGGTAGGTAATGTTCAATTTCGCAACCCTCTTTTTTCTTACTCAAATTCTTATAATTTTTGCGTCAAATTTAAAATTTGTTAATATTATTATTGACTGATTGGATGGCATAAAAAATAAAGTGAAGTCGAGGAAGGGGAAAATGGAGAGGAGGGGAGGGGGATATTATTGAAGAATTTTTTTCCAGTTCTGTTTCCTCAAATTTTCTTTGGTTTTTAAGTCACAGGTTTGGGTCTCAACCTTTTTTGGTAGGTAGGAGAGATTTTTTTATTTCTAGATTTTCACAAAATTGGAATTTGAGTGGTAAATTGGTAAAATCTGAGAACTTGGGAAAGTTGATTAACATTTAGGAAGGATGTGAATAGGTTGGAAAACAGAAGACCGAAAAACCAGAACAAGACAAATTAGTCTCCTAAAGTAGTTCATAAAGAGACATTCTGCATTTAAAAATAAATAATTATGTACATATGTATTTCTCATGCCAGTTTTATAGCTTAAAAAATATTTCTTGAAGTTCTCTTTTTTTTTAATTTACTAAAAATAATATTTTTGTATTAAGCATAAAAACAAATTTGGAAATGTCTCTTTTCTCTTCCTCCTTTTAATAATAATTATTTTTATATTTGTAATATATAAATACCCCCCTTTAAACACGCAATTATCTCAATTAAAGAAAATATTCATTTACTCTTCCAAACATATTTTTTGTGCCAAACAACCCTTTTTAGAATAACTGACATTTTAAGAAAGAAAAACTTTTGGCATTTCTATTTTTGCAAAAAAAAAATGTTAAAGTGTAAAGATAAATATTTTTTTGGAAATTTAGTACTTTAGTACGTTTGAGAGGCTATTTTCTATTTTTCTTTCGATTTTTAAGATTTTGAAAAATATTTTCGATATTTTTGAAATATTTTTGAGTTACGATTTTCAAAGATTTTTTAGTTTGATCACGGGATCCCACAAGGATTTTACGGGATGTTACACCTATCCGGAACTTTTTCGATTTGCGGGATTGATTCAAAAAAAAGGTCACTCCCTCTAAGATTTTGAAAAAATATTTTCGATATTTTTGAGATACGATTTTCGAAAAATTTTTTTGTTTGACCAATGCTTGACGGGATCCCACGCGGGATTTTGCGGCGTATCACTCCACTCCCAAACTTTTTTCGATTTTAAGAATTGCTCCCAGAAAACCCCAATGGGCTCTCGTCCCACAAAATTGGAAAAAAAAATTTCCGCCTGGAACCCCACAAATGAGGCAATTATCACGGCTCCTAACTCGCATTATTTAAACAGGAAAGCTGAAAAAATATAATCAATCTTAAATTTTTACATGTAAAGAAGCAGCAAATATTTCAGGACGTAAAGAATTAATATTATTATTACTACAACACCCATCACTTTTATTAAATATTGTAGTTTTAGTTAAAGTCGATAAAGTAGTTTTTGCTATTTTTGGTTGTATTGGAATGACTTTTGGGGAAGATTTAAGTAATAAATTTTTAAGCTTTTTTTGTTGGTGGTGATGTTTTGATGTTTTAGGCAAAATTGGAGGGACTCCAGAAGGTGCGGGCAAAAGAGGGAAGGAAGCAGAAGGGATTAGTCTGCCCTTTGGTTGTTGGAATTGAAGCATTTTGGAAGCTATAATAACGGAAGAAGTCATTTGTTGTTGGTTAACTCTTATTGAATTGGCGTTATTACAAGCTGGTAAAACTTGCATTATGTTGGGCTGATTTGTGGTTAATGTTGAGGAAGATGGATTCTAACAATTTAAAAAAAAATAAAAGAGCCAAGGAAAAGACGGTCTAATTCTATCCATTTTTGGAGATATACTCACACCCTCATTATAAGAAACCTTCATTATAAGAGACATTCACTATAAGATACACCACCAAATACTAGCTATACCTCTATTTAAGAGACGTTTTTCATAATTTGGATAGGCACAGGAGAGAGAGAAAGAGACTAAGCGATACCCTCTATTTTACGTACGCCTCATTGTAAGAGACACTCACTATAAGACACCACGAAATACCATACCCCTATTTAAGAGACATTTTTCATAATTTAGCTGGCCAAAGGAAAGGAGAGTTGACTAAGCGATACCCTCTATTTTACGTACGCCTCATTATAAGAGACTAATTTTTCCAGCCTTAAGTGGATACCTAAAGATGAGATTCAACTTTATTTCAAAGATAATTAAACCCTCTATTTTACGTACACCTCATTATAGGACAAATTTTTCAAGCTCGAAGGGTTACATATCTTCATAAAAATGAGTCAACTCTATTTAAAAGTCAATTTAAAAATTCCAAGCCCCCTTTCTAAAGGTTCCTATTATATGCCTCTTACATAAAAGCAAAATCTTGTTTTTTGTTTACATGCAATTTATTAGCTAGCTAATAAAATGTTCTTCAAGTTTATTCTCTTTTTAACCGAAAGCATTCCCTTCCTTTTATCATCTCAAAAACCAATTCATATTAGCCTTAACACTTTTTTTAGTTGTTTTTACCATTTTTCCCTTTCAGACAATAAATAAACCTTTGGGTTAGCGAGGAATTTTGTGGCAGTAGCTTAAAGAGAAATGGCAGAAAAAATGTGGAAAATTGGCTAATGGATGAAGGAATAATAGAATATATTGAAGAGGGAAAGAAAACAAAATGCGGGAAAGAGAATTTGACTCTTTTTTATGGGACTATCATTTTTGTCCATTATATTGGGAGGCGAAGGGTCGAAGAGTAAAAATGTGTAGATATATAAAATAAATATTTTTAAAAGTCAAATAGAGTTGGAGAAGGGACTGGGCCATTAGGGCCGGGGCCATTAGGGCGCGAGCTTATAAAACATTGAATTGGTTATCAAAAAAGATAAAATTTTGCAATAATAACTCTCATGCCTTTATCTACGTTCTCCAAAAATTTCAGCATTTTTGATCAAGAATTTCAGAAATTGTGGCCATAAATGTTGATTTTCCGAAAAAACCCAAATTTTTCGCGGTCTATCGACTATAACTTCAGAAATATTCGATGAAAAATTCTGAAATTTCTGGAGGAGGTAGTCAACGATGTTAAAGAAATTTGAGAAAATTTGCATAAATTTCGGTTTCGCCTAAGTGTCAGTTTCTAGTGCTGGCGCCCTAATGGCCCCGCGCCCTTATGACCCCAACCCTTGGAGAAATGCTTCTTTTAAAATATGGAAGGTAAAAAAGGAGGAATAAATATGTAGAGAAAAAAACATAAAAATGAGGATATCTCTGAATATTATAATAATCTTATGTTTCTTCTCAACTTGTGGCAGTAAACAGACTTTGGCATAAAGAAAAGAAAAATTTTTTTCTCTTGGAGTACAAAATAAAAATTGAAAATGTAAACAAAATGCCAAAGAGTTTAATAATAAAAGAGAAAGAATGAGTTTAGAAAAAATTTTAATTGAAAAATGGAATAAATCATATTAAGTAAATATTTTAATAGACAAAATATTTTATTGTTTTCTGTCACGTTCTTTAATTTTTCACGTACTTTGTGATGTTAAAAATAAATAAATAGTAAACAAACAATTTTTGGATTCACCCTTGGGGCTGGAAAAGCGTGTGATAAACGCTCTTTGGTAAACTGACTGTACCGTATAGTTTATCTTAAACAGAGGAATCGCTTAAACAGTTTCCCCACCAGAGATGAGGTCGCTTCTATTTCCTTAGCCGAATTCCGTCTTTCTGGCCCTTCCGTCTTCCGTTATTTTTTTCTCCTTCCGCTATGTATCACTGCTCCACATATAATGCCTAACGTATCTTATATGGAGGTGTATCTGTCTCTTATAATGAGTGTCTTTAGAATGGAACTGAGTTTATTTGGGTCTCTTATAATGAGGTTGACTGTCTATATTAAAAAACAGTCGATCTTTAAAAGCCATCATTAATTACCCACCCCTTCGATAGCAACATTCCCACTTGTAGCCACCAACATTTCCTTCCCACTATCATTGTTCACTACCCCATTATTAATTAAAATTGTATTATTAAGCTCTGTTGTTGTACTAGTTGAGGCAATAGCTGGTCGAATTAAAAGCCCAAAAAGAGATCCTTCCGCCCCATCTTCTTGCCGGCTTTTAAACATACACGGAACAGCCTCAAAACTCATCTCTCCACTTGAAACAACTTTTTCTGTTGCCTCAAAAGAAGATTTTTCACTTTCCTCTTCTGTTTCTTTTGCTGTAATATGAACCATTTTTTGTTGTTTTTGGTGTGCTTTTTGTGGATTTTGTTGGTGGGGCCCATTTGAACAGGGCCTTTCTTCTAACAGTTTGGAAATGTTGGATTCGGAAAAATTATTAATTAAATTATAAGGGAAATGGTTGTTTATTGATGTCGTTATTGTTAAAAATAATATAAGTTTATTGATTTTTATCAAAAAATTTCTTATCACTAAAAAATAATTTTTTTAATTAAAAAAAGCAACAATCATGTGACTCACTATAAAATAAGCCCACGAGGTTAAAAAATAGTCTCTTATAATGAGGTGTATCTTAAATAGAGGGTATCGACTGGGCAGCTCCGCCATCCAGTGGATAAACGAGTTTAAGAGAATGTATGTTAAAACGAGGTGTAACTAGTATTGAGAGTATCCTATATAGAGGTGTGCCTAATATTGGGTATCGCTAGGTAATAAACCAACTTGTGATCATCACCCACTGATAAACCGAATTAAAAAAGTTCCTTAAGTAGAGGTGTATCTAGTATAGGGAGTCACTTATAAAGAGGTGTGCCTAATATTGAATGTCTATTAAATAGAGAGTAAAGTTTAGACGGCTCCTCTCTCCCAGTGTTCAAACAAATTAAAAAAAAGTCCATTAAATAGAGGTGTATCCAGTATTGAGAGTATCCTATAAAGAGGTGTGCCTAATATTAAAGTGTCTATTAAATAGAGAGTATCGCTAGGTGATAAACCAACTTGTAATAACCACCCAATGATAAACCAAATTTAAAAAAAAGTCACTTAAGTAGAGGAGTATCTAGTATTGGGGTATCTTATAAAGAGGTGTGCCTAATATAAAAGTGTCTATTAAATAGAGAGTAAAGTTTAGACAGTCCCTCTCCTAGTGGTCAACCAAATTAAAAAAAAGTCCCTTAAGTAAAGGTGTACCTATTATAGGGAGTATCTTATAGTGAGATTCGAAATAAAATAGGTAATCAAGAAAAGAAGTCTCGCGCATTCATTTCAAAATTTTCACCTCTACATATAACAGAAAAACAAAAAATACACCAAACAATTCTCAAGTTTTCTTTTACTTTTTAATTTTATCGAATATTAACACCAACAGAATGATTAAAAAAAGGGTGAGTTATTGAAAGGCGAAAAATTTTTTTTATTGAGGTGAGCGGTGAGGAAATTTTTAGACAAACAAAAGAGAAAGGATTCTTGATATTTAAAAAATAATAAAAATATTTAAAAAAAAGGTATTTTGAGTTCGTTTTAGAAATAACTTTTTAACTTTTTTAATAAGAAAAAAATTATACGGAGCGTAAAAAAAATAAGTTTAAATTATGGCAAAGTTAGAAAAAAGAAAAAAGTGGGTAAACAAATAAGGAAAATAATAAGGAAAAAATAGGAAAAACAGGAAGGGAAAAAAGATTGAAAATACAAAAAATGTGTGTATAAAAACAAAGAAGAAAACTAGTGCTTGGTTCCAAAATAATGTCCGCAGAACGGCCAAATTTTTTTGGAACTGACAAGGAGCTGAATCATGATTTTTTGGAAGAATCAGAAAAATATAAAAGGTGCCAATTGTTATTTTCTGAGCCTTCTTGTATTTTAAAAAATTACGAATCCAAAATCAGACCTTCAGAAATGATTTCAAAGAAAATTCGAAGAGAAAAAAATGAAAAAACTTCAAGATTTTTGATCAAGGCTATGTGCCATAATGTTTTGGTGCTATTTTTGGCAGATTTTGGCGTTCTGGGTTTGGCGTATTTTAAAAATTTGAAAAACTGGCATTAGCGCGACACGCAAAATTTTTGGCACTGTTTTCAAAATTTATTTTTTTTGGCGTAATGTTGCAAAAAAATTTTTTTAACAAAAAAAAATTTTCAAAAAAAATTTCAAGGTAATTGATATACTCTAATATCCTTAAAAATTCATACATTTATTTATATAAACAATATGGAAAAAAATATGCAGCATTAATGTATGTAGAAGCGGTAAGAGAAAAATCAATTTGCTTGAGAGTGAGGAGAAATAATAAAAAAACTATTTACTAACCCATCGAGGAGAAAAAAAAATGTCGATAATTAAAAAGATGTAATATTTTGGTTGAATTGAAAAAAAATTTTTTTGGGGCTAGACGTTTCTAAATTTTTTATTGAAATAGACAGAAGATTATGTACAGTCGGACCTCTCTATAAGATACATCCAACACTAGATACACCTCAAGATAAAAACCTGGTTGATCTACTGGGTGTACGTTAAATAGAGGGTACCTAAACGATACCTTCTATATAACATACACCTCATTATAAGAGACTATCTTTCAGCCCCAAGGATGTAACCTATAGAGAGGTTCGACTGCATTGTTTACCGATAAGTTATTAATCATTTCTTAATTGAGACTCAAATGTCCAGATGAAGTACTTACTTAATATCACTTTTTTCAAAAACAATAAGTAAAAATTTCAAGTAAAATTAATTAGATAACAAATGCTTTTTATTAATAGATTTATATTGCGGCGTTAAAAACTGATTGATGACGTTAATTAACAAACATAGTAAAAACTACATAATGGCATTTAAAAAATATCAATTAGCGCCCGTTTGAAGAATTGATCAAAATTTGTTGTTTTATATAAATTTATTCAGTCTCGTAGGTTGTAAGTATTTAATTAAGTGAATAAATAAAATAAATGAAGGAAGGACACAGCCAAAAAGAAAAAGAGAACAACTCCTCACACACAACAGCTTTCTTCGACACTAAAAACCCAAGCGGCGATATATATAGGCGACATGGTGCGGTGATGAGAAGTGGGTAAGCAAAGCAATGAGCAGCCAGTATAGCAGAGAAATAACAATGAAAAGAGGCGCGAGTACAAAACATCCAGGATACAAAATGCCAGGATGGAGATCGATAACTTTTAATACATTTAAGGAACAATTAATAAAGTTCTTGCAAGATATTCTAACAAAATCAAGTTAATGATCACATGCTTTATCGTTCAATTTTAGATGGTAAGCGGTAAAACACAAGAAATTTAATTTTGATTGGAGTTTAAGGTAAATTGTACTCTCGCTTGTTGTCGATGATCGAACCCGGAAGGAAAAGTATTACAATATTCTAAAATTGAACAAAACGCCAAAAAACAAGAAAATGAGACTCAAATGTGTACGCAAAATAAAAAAATCCTTGCACAAAAATTAAAAATGGACATTTTGTAAATGGGCATTTTATATAACAAAAAATTGAGCGGAGGTAACTTCAAGTTAGTATAGTGGAGGGGAATTGAGAGAAGCAATTGTCACAGCAATGTGGTGATGATTTTGTATGTATTATATGTGAGAGTTTTATGAATGAGGCGAAATTTTGGAAGAGAGTATAAAAAGGTTGAATGCAGTGAAACTGCACATATCGGAGGTAGGAGGCCCAAAAAATAGTAATAGTTTTGCCTGGCGCAATGATGAACGTATGGTTTTAGCAATATAAGATGGTATCCTCTCCAAATAATTTTCTCTTTAATACATTTTAGGCAATGAAAATAAAAATAAAGGAAAGAAGAGTTCAACTTTAGAGTTTGCCAATGTTGCAATTCGCCATAGAAAAATGGTCATAACTGACTAACGAACTATTGTGCCCTTTTGAGGGTTGTTTTTGTAAAGGTACTATTTAAGGTTATTTAATTAAAAATTTAAGGCTTAACGTCCAACATGTATTTTTGTCTGTGAGAGGAGAAAATTGAAGTGAGAGGCACTTTTCCAGCATTTTCTCGAAGACATCAAATCAAAAATTAATTAGAATGCACTCAAATAAGATCATATCGTTCCATTCTTTATTTTTTTTTTAATTTTCCAATTGTTTGCTAATTTTTAATTGTTTTGGGTTTTACGTTACACATCGATAAAAACTGATAGATTTACTAAAAACAAAGCGGACACACGAAAAGCTATAAAAGCAAATATACCGGACTTTGACGGAGAAATAAAAGGAAAAAAGAATTAACAACGCCACAAACTAGAACAACAACCGGGCGATTGAAAAATGAAGAATTGGCGGTGAATAAATGAAAATTGTGAGGAGGGGGGAGAGAATGCGTGGAAGAATAAATAAAAATATATATTTAGTTGTTTGAATGTTTTTAGGGATTGAAAATTGGTTGATGAATGTTGTGTGTATGTATGGGTGGTGAAAGAGCGGATTGAAAGAAAAAGATGCTCTGGATTGAGATGGATTGATTGTTTGGTGTATGAAACATCGGTTGAGTGAATGAATTAATAGTTTTAGGATTTGGATGAATGAGTATATTGCAAATAATAAATTGATGGAAAGAACAAAATATGTAGTTTTATTAAAGTAAATAAAGTGTAAAATCAGAAAGAAACATTTTTAAAAAATTTTGTTGGGTGACTTTGGGTGACTAAACCGAGGAAAAGGACCTTTTTATTAGGTATGTGCCTTTCGCCGAATTTTTGCCTTTCTCTGGTGTTTCGTCTTTCGCATTTTAAAAACAGTCTCGGCAAACATTTGATATCTATCTTATAATGAGGTGTATTTTAAAATGGATGAAATTCCTGATAGCTACGTTCCCTCAGTGGCTAATTAAAATCTAAAATAACTTCTTAGATCTGTTGGTGATTAATTCTAGAGACAGTTTTTAGATTGTCAGTATTCGATGACTAAAATTGCTTAATAACTGTACTTACTAAGGAAGTATGTTTTTGATATTTTTTCTATTTTTCTCTCAATTTTTTTTCAATTTTAAATAATATATTCGCCAAATATTTACCCAATTTCGGCCGTTATATTAATAAAATCTGCAATCTTCAAAATTAAAAAAAATTTCTTATTAAGCCGATTTTCTTCGCTGATCAGTGTTCGATGACTAAAATAATACATTACCACACAGAAATTTTAGTATAAATAGATGGGTGGAATAAGTCTAAAATTAATTAACTTTCATTTCTATTTTAAAAATAATTTTTTAATTTAAAAATTTTCAAAATGCTCAAATTTTTGTTCCCTTTAATCCTTTTTGCTTTAATTAATAATTTTAATATGATTGAGTGTGTACCTGGAGGTTATGGCTATGGTGGTATGAGTGGAGGTGGAGGAGGTTTTGGCGGTATGGGAGGAGGTAAATTAGAATAGTATGGAGATCTTAATTATTTACCTAATTGAAAGGTTCACAATTTGGTGGTGGAGGCATGCAAGGCTTTGGAGGACAAGGAGGTGGTGGAGGAGGATATGGTGGTTATGGAGGAAAATAAATTTAAAAATGTGTTGAAATCAACGAGGAGAAATATTTTTAAAAAATTTTAATCTCTAAATTATTATTGTGATTAATTTTATTTTATTTTGACTATGAAACGTTCTATTTAATGATAAATATATTCGAAAAACAGGTTGTTAGACTGGTATAACTATTTTGCTCGAGGGAGCAATATTGCTGATTTACAATTTAAATTCGGGAGGTTGACAATTGTATGGAAAGAGCTGTACAGTCTATACCCTCTATTTAAGCTACACCTCATTATAAGAGACCATTTTGTGACTTTAAGGGGGCATAGGGAGGTCCGACCATACAATTTTATTCTTCATCACTGAACAAATAAAAAGTTATCCTCTAATATTATCACTTATTTTTGCCATAGCTTGTTCCAAAGTTATTCTATCCTCAGTATCTTTATCTCCCGTTTTGAAGACATTATATTGAACTTCATTCTCGTCATATAAACAAAAAGCAGCAGAACCATCCCGATGTTTGTGGTCTGGAATTGTCCAATGGACAGATTTTCCGACTAAATTAGTCCCTTCAATAATCAAAACACCCCAAGTGCCTCCATAAATATCTTCCATTATACGACGAATTAACTGTTAAATTGTAATTTGGAAATTTTTAAAAGATAAAGAACCTGCATTTGAGAGGAAGTATCTCCTCGATTTGTTACTTCAATTGTTCGAATAATTATGTGTTTAACAACTCTCATCGGACAGTTATCGATAGCTATTTAAGGTAAATATATTCGAAATAGAAATTTGAGATTTTTTCGATTACAGTCGAACCTGGTGTTTAGATCGCCCACAGTCCTATTCATCAATATGAGGGAACTTTGAGGTATGTATATCAGAATCCTCCCAGAAATTACTCCCTTTCCCTCCCACGTTTTTTGTCTTCAAGATCAGGGGTCAGAGCACAGGAGGCAATTGTGAAAGTCGCAAAACCCAACGAAAAGCCAAAATTTAACGCAAATAACGCAAGACGCAATGCGCTCACCTCTGTTCCCAATTGTCCGATTTTGCCTCCCCGTACCTATTGTGTGGTGGAGCTGTTAATGCAATACCCTCTATTTAAGGTACACCTTAGTACAAAATAGAATTTTTCAGCTCAAAGGGTATTCAAAATGAGGTTCTACTTTACTTAAATTTTTTAAATTAAATTTTAAATTTACCATAAATAATTCCTTGATTTGACAAAAATATTAAAAAAAGAATATTTAAAAAATAATTTTCAAAATTTAATTTCCTCAACATTTTTAAATTATTTTTAAATTTATTTTTATGAAAAAAAATTTGTTTGTTTAGTTTAAAGAAAAGTTTGTTTGTTTATTTTAATATGTACACTTTAAATATTTTTCCCTCTATTGTTTTGCATTTCAAAGGAAATATGGTCACACTTTTAGTTTCCAATTTTGAAATGACAAGGTACTGTCACAAGGAAATGACAAGGTACTGGAATTGAAATGACAAGGTCAGTGAGAGCTGAATTATACGAAACTCTGATTTTTTCGACTCGAAATCCGAAACCCGAACCGATACACTTTTTTCTCAACTCGACCCGTCTAGAGACTTGTTTTTATACGGAGTTTCTCTCATATACAAAATGATCTGAGAATTAAAAACGAGGTAAAGCCTTCTTTCAACAGGCTGGAGTCTGAGAGACTCCTAATCCACTCCTAATCCATATTAGAGTCTAAAACCGAATATTGGCAATGGGAAACTGCCAAACTCATCATTTTTCTCTCATACAAAAACATACTATAAAAGCCTCAACCCAGAAACCTCCTCATTCTTCTCCTAATCGTCAGTCAACACTTCAAACAAAACCAAAAATGATCTCTTCACCAATTCAAACCCCAAAATATCTTTATCTTCTATCAATTTGCTTCATTCAAATTGCCGCCTCCAACAACAACGAATTGGGCAAAGAGGAAGACAATGGTTTAGGCTTGAATGTGTTCAAAGAAAGGGTGAAGAGAGGAGAAGAATCAGAAGGGTCTATTAATCCAATAATTATTATTGGAATATTGGCTTTCTTGTAAGTTTGAAATTTTAAAAAATTTCAAAAAAAATTTTTTCTCTTTTCAGGGGTATTTGTATTGGCTCTATAATTGGCTACTTCTTAGTCCGCCGCTATAACCGGAAGAAAGCAGAGCTCGCCAAAAGAAAGCGTCATCATCAACGTCTACTGGCGTTACACAAGGATTTAGCCCAGAAAAGGATTGGAAGTAAGGAAGTTGTAGTTAAAGATGAAGTTAAGGATGAAGTTAAAGAGGATAAGGATAAAGATGGTGAAGATAATAGTAGAATGACTCTCATATAAACGAAATAAATTGTGTATATAGGTGTAATAAAAGGAAGTTGATTGAATGCTGGTTATTTTGTAAAGTCGGGGACTCACTTGTAGATAAACCTGAAAAAACGTGTGGGGGGTTAACTATGGGATTTGGAGAGTTCCTCCTCCCAGTGGTCTCTTAAATTGAGGTTATCTTATAGTGAGATTCGACTATTATTATTATTTCTTGTTTATTCAATTATTCGTTTCATTAAATAATTTTTTGTGTTAAAGTGAAAAATAAAAATTGTTAAAATTAGTTGTGTTTTATAATGTTAGTTGAGTGATAAATTAATTTTGAGATTCTCCAATTTCATAATTAAAGCGACCGAGGGTGAACGATTGATGATCTGCAATTTTCGTAAAACCGGGACGTTGGAACTGGGCAAAGGATAGGTATGCCTATGTGATGAACTATTTAGTGTAACTACATATAAGGGACCATTTTTGCAGATTCTGGGTATTTTTTGTTTGGTCAGACTATAAAATTTAATTTAAAAACACATACACCAAAACCCTGTCACGTTTAAAGAATAAAGTCTGGTAGTATCGTATTTTAGAATTTCTCGGAGGAGCTCGAATAACCCATGACATCCCTGATCCCTATCATAGACAAAAGCCGAAACTGTTAATAGGAAATAACCGAATTTAGTTATACAAAAAACACTATAAAAGCCTTAACCCAAAACTTGAACCTCCTCTCATTCTTCTCCTAATCGTCAGTTAACACTTCAAACAAAACCAAAAATGATCTCTTCACCGATTCTAAAAATGTTTGTTGGACATATTCTTTTGGTTAACTATCTTCTATCAATTTGCTTTATTCAAATTGCTGCTTCCAACAACAACGAATTGGACAAAGAGGAAGACAATGGCTTGAATGTATTCAAAGAAAGGGTGAAGAGAGGAGAAGAAACACAATGGCCTCTTTCTCCAAAAATTACTATTGGAATATTGGTTGCCTTGTAAGTTTGAAATTTTAAAAATTTTCGAAAAAATTTTTCTTCTGTACAGGGTGGCTCTGGTATTGGCTTGCTCTATATTATCTTATTACTACTATACCTTCTATACCCGTTATAACAAGGTGAAAGCTGAGCTCGACTGGAAAAAATTTGAGCTCGACCGTGAAAAGCGTTATAATCGTTTAATGGAAGCCAAGATCTCTAAGATGATGGAAAAGGATATTGCCGAGATGGAAAAGAGTGAAAAGATGAAAAGAAAAGCTAAAGGAGAAGAAGATGAAGTGTATAAAATTAAAGAAGATAAGGATAAAGAAGATAAGAATAAAGAGGGTAAAGATACTAGTAGGATGGCTTTCATATAAACAAAATAAATTGTGTATATAGGTGTAATAAAAGGAAGTTGATTGAATGCTTGTTATTTTGTAAAGTCGGGGACTCACTTTAAGATAGACCTGAAAGCCTTTAAACTGGGGGTTTAGAGAGTCCCTCCTCCCCGTAGTCTCTGAAATTGAGGTGTTCTAATACGGGGGTATCTTATAGTGAGGGTCGACTGTATTATTGTTTTTCCTTGTTTATTCAATTATTCGTTTCATTAAATCATTTTTTGTGTTAAAGTGAATAATAAAAATTTTTAAAAAATTGTCATGTTTTAAATTGTTGTTTATTAATAAGTTAATTTTGAACAAAATTATGTCCAACACTTTGAGACATGAATTTAAAAAATTTTTAAAACATAAAGCGTATACAGTGCCGGAAAAAAAGATAGGACCAGAGTGGACCATATGCGTTGACGTTTAGGCACTGAATGATACGTGGATACCAGGGATGGGCGAAATCAAAAAATAAAAAGCGAAATGCGAAACTTTTTTTAAAAAAATAAAATGCGAAATGCGGAATGCGAAACTTTTCGCGCCAAAAAATGCGAAAAATGCGAAATGCGAAAATGCGAAATTATTTAAAATTCAAAAAATTTTATTCATATTCAAAATTATAAAAGTATACGATTATAAAAGTATATCTAAAGTATACGAAATCTATCTTAACCTATATCCTCCTTAATCCCACACCGTCCTTCTATATGCACATATATATCCCGATATCCCTCTTGATGCTCCCAAATCCTCTGATATCCATCCCATATATCTCACAATATCCGTCTTAATCCCCAAAATCTCTTGATATCTCTCAAAATCCACCATATGCCTTACTCCCTTGATATCTCTCAAAATCCACCATATGCCTTACTCCCTTTAAATCTTTCGATATCCCTCTAAATCTACCGATATCCTCCTGACCGAGCTGGGTCTCAATAATCAAAGCTTGTTTCTTTGTAATTTTACTTGGACGGATATCATGAGATTCAGTGGGATATTCTCCCATTTTCAGCGCCTCTGGCGAAAATTTTGAGAATGTTGGAAAGCCAAAAAAGCCAGAATTCTTCCATTTCCAGCGCCGCAGGCGAAAATTTTAGAATTTTCTTAAGGCTCAAGTGGCAATTATGCTAGAAAAGAGAAATCTTTGGGAGAAAATTAACCCAGGAAAACCAGGAAAACCTACAATTCTGGATGACTGCCACGTAAATGTGAGATTAAAAATGTTGTTGGCGCACGTGGCGGGTAGTTTTTTGAAAAACTACAACTTTTGCAGAACGCTACTCTTCCAGAAAGTGAGAAATACTTCCATATTAAAGACATTATAATTTTAAAAAATTTCTTAAAAATAAAAAAAAATACTTTAAGAAAAAGCGAAACAAATTTCGCATTTGGACCAAAAAGCGAAATGCGGAATGCGAAACTTTTCGCGCCAAAAAATGCGAAAAATGCGAAAGATGCGAAATGCGAAAATGCGAAATCGCCCATCCCTGGTGGATACTTGTTGACAAAAATAATTTCTCCTAAAGAAAGAATCGGATAATTCAAAAACATCCTTCAAAATGTTCATACCTAATTACTAGATAAAAAAAGTGAACCCCCCCCCTTGTTCAAAACTTAATAGCATTTGAATGAAAAGATGCCAAAGGCAAACAGAATAAAAAGTGGAAAACAGACATCACCTTTACACAAAACCTTGTCACGGGTAGAGAATGAAGTCTGGTAGTATTGTATTTCCGAATTTCTCAGATCAAGTATCAGAGCTCGAATAACCCGTCCCTGATACATATCAGTCATTCAGTTATACAAAAACACTATAAAAGCCTTCTTCCAAAATTTAAACCCCCTCTCATTCTTCTTCTAATCGTCAACACTTCAAACAAAACAAAAATGATCTCTTCACCAATTCAAACCCCAAAATATCTAAAAATGTTTGTTGGACTTATTCTTTTGGTTAATTATCTTCTATCAATTTGCTTTATTCAAATCGCTGCTTCCAACAACAACGAATTGGGCAAAGAGGAAGACAATGGTTTAGGCTTGAATGTGTTCAAAGAAAGGGTGAAGAGAGGGGAAGAAACACAATGGCCTCTTTCTCCAAAAATTACTATTGGAATATTGGTTGCCTTGTAAGTTGAAATTTAAAAAATTTTCAAAAAAAATTTTTTTTACAGGTTGGCTCTGCTATTGGTTTTCTTTGTATTGTTTTGTTACTACTATAACCGTTATAACAAGCAAAAAATTGAGATGGACAAGTTGAAATACGATGTGAACTATTACAAGTGTATTAATCGTGTACTGGAAGGCTCGATTGATAAGAGGATAGACAAGGAAATGGCCGAGAGTGAAAAGAGGGAAAGGAAGAAAAAAAAGGCTAAAGAAGAAGAAGATGAAGTGTATAAAGTTAAAGAAGATAAGGATAAAGATGATAAGAGTAAAGAAGATAAGAATAAAGAGGGTAAAGATACTAGTAGGATGGCTTTCATATAAACAAAATAAATTGTGTATATAGGTGTAATAAAAGGAAGTTGATTGAATGCTGGTTATTTTGTAAAGTCGGGGACTCACTTATAGAAACACCCTTAGAAGTTTTACGCCCAGGATATCCAAGGATTTAGCCAATTTTATGACATGTACCTTCAAACTGGGGGTGTTCAACAGAGGGGTTCTATTAGGGGATGTCTCTTATAGGGAGGGTTTCTTTATAGTGAGGTGTACGTTAAATAGAAGGGTTAGCTTAGGCAGCTCCCCCCACTCATAGCCAACCAAATTTTTATTGAACGTCTATTAAATAGAGGTGTTCTAGTAAGGGGCGTCTCTTATAGTGAGGTTCGACTATATTATTGTTTTCCTTGTTTATTCAATTATTCGTTTGATTAAATCATTTTTTGTGTTAAAGTGAAAAAATAAAAATTTTATAAAAATTTTGTTGTGTTTTATAATCTTACAGCTGACAAAAAATGCACCTTCAACTCAGTATCCAAGAAAAGCATGGGAACTTCAAAAATTCTTAATTATTTTTGTTCCTTATTTAGTTCTCTATCATTTAAGCTTTATTTGATCTCAATATCTTAGATTTGAATGAAACTATTTTATAAATAATGTGTCCTAAAATCTTCTTGTCCCCCTATAGTTGATTGATATAAATTAATTTTCGAGATATTTCTGATTAAAAAATTTTATATAAAATTCCCCTTCAATTTTATAATTAAAACAAAATTATGTCTATATTTTTTTTGTCTTCAATCTTTTTTTCAATTTTTCTGTTCGTGTAAATTTCCTCTTGAAAAAAAAGAAATTTTTTTCTAAACAGCTGTTTCCTTCCTTTACTAAACTCACCTTATTTTAAAGAGTATTTATTTTTATCAATTTTCTATTCTTTTTTAAGTTTTTCTTAAATATTTTCTTTCAAAAAAATCTGTTAACACTTTAAGTCAAAAATTGAAAAAAATTAATTTGTTAAGTATTTCCTAAGCTTTTAAATTCAGTCGACATTTCTCTCATTTTTGTGTCAGAAAATTATTTTTATCCCCCAGACTAAACGATTCACTTAAATATTTTAAATTTATTAGTTTATCTGAAGGTCACGTATTTATTGCGTATAAATTGAATTGAATGAAGCAAAGGGCTATTTAATTCCTAAGGCTATGCAAAAGTAGGCGTGGTGCTTAACAGACGGACCCCGCTGAATTAATCCCGCAAATCCCTGTTTGTCGTCTAAGAACCGGAAGTTCGGGCGAGATCCAGTAAAAGCCTGTAGGGATCCTCTAAGTATTTTGTCTTCTTCAAAGAATCTAGGGTTGCTGGTAAAACCATAAAAAAAAAATAAAAAAAAAAAAAATAAAAAAAAAAAAAAAAAAATAAAACGTTGCTGGCAAACATTCAAGTAAAACCAGAATCGAAAAACCGAAGATTATCGGTACGGCTAACCAAAAAATGGTGAAATCGACAATCTTAGTCCGACAATTGAAGGTGCTGTGGGTCTTTCCCAGTCTCCTCAACTTTTGTGTTAACTAAAGAATAAATAGAACTCAACTTTAATTTTAAATTTTTTAGTTTTAGGTTAAAAATAAAATTTATAAACGTTTCTTCTTCTTCCTTTTTTTATTTGTTTTGTGCCAATAATAAAGTTAAATGTCATAGTTTCTTTTTTTTTATTTTCTCTTTTTTTTTATTTAACTTGCTTTATAGCCATTTCCCCCCTTTTCTTTTATAGCATTTAAATTTTCATTTTGCTTTTTAAATGTTTTTTAAATTTATTTTTCTTTCTGTTCTTCTTGACACTTTTTCCTTTTTTAAAATTTATTTCTTTAAAAAAAGTTTTCTCTTTTGTAAAATAAATAAATTTTCTTAAAAATTGAAGGATATCTCTAAATGATACCCCCAACTTTAGCGTACACTCATTTTAGTGTATTCTTCGGCCCAGCGTAACTATAGAAGATTGTCACGGGTTGGGAAAATTCCGGGTCGGGTTCCGGGTCGAAAAAGTTCAGGGTAAGGGATTTGAGTAGGGTTGTTCCCTGACGGGGGGGGGGCACGGGGAAAGGCAGCGTTACGGGGGGGGGGGGGACGGGGAAATTTTTTTATTTTTTACGGGGGGGGGGGGGGGGGACACCCCTAATTTTGAGTAGTCTGTGACACCTCCTTGTATACACCTTAGTTTTGTGTACGTATTTTTCAGCACGAGAGATGTCTAAACAATTAACTCCACTTTAATCAACACCTTTTTATTAAGTACGAATTTTTTAGTACACTATAAAGAGTGTCGATTTTTTCGGAATTATATATGTATCCGTAAATACATTAAAATAACTATTTAATAGATTAAAGTAGAATTTAAATTGTGTTTTTTTAATCTCTAAAAAATTTATTTTCTTTGTCTCCTAGGAAACAAAGAAAATTTAATTTTTATTAAATTAAAGATATTTAATTTATTTTAAAAATGTTTGATTCTTCTGATGAATCTAGAGACGAAGAAATTAGTTTGGTTTGTTTAAATTTTCAAAAAAATTTTTTTTGAAAAATTTTTTTGAAGGCAGAAGCTCGCCGTCCATATCAAATAAATTTAAATAGTGATACTGAATTAATTAGGAATAATACTAGCAAATGTTGTGGGAGAAGAAATAAAAGAAAATCTGTAATTATTTTAATTTTATTTTTAAATACAGTCGAACCTCTCTATGTTATATACCCTCAATATAAGATACACCTTTATTTAAAGGACGCTATTTTAGGTTTGCTAGGGCCCTTGTCTGGGGAAATGTTTGAGAAATACCTCCTATTTAAGATACCCTCTATTTATTATACACCTCTATTTAAAATACACTTCATTATAAGAACACCTCATTATAAGATACACCTCGGTATAACGTACCTCCAATATTTTATCCACCTCTCTTTAAGAGACATTCCTTAAAAATCGCGGACTGGATTGGGGAGCTGTTTGAGCAATACCCCCATTTTAAAATACAACTCATCATAAGAGACTATTTTTCAGTTCCAATGGTGTCTCTTATATTGAGCTTCGACTGAATATTTTTACTTAAAATTTTATATTAAATTAACAGCTAATCAAAATATTAATTCCTCGTGTTTTTGTTTTGGTGCTTACAACTATTTATGTTTTTATAATTGCTGCAACTTTTTATTCTGTTGAAAATGAAAAAGAAAGAGAGGTAGACAAATTTATTTTTAAAAATTATTGAACCTCACTTTTAAATAACCCCTTCAGGGACGTAAAAATCATTCCCAATAATGAGAGTTATCTTAAATGGAAGGTATCATCTGAACAGCTCCCCGATCCAGGGCGCTCCAAAATATTAAAAATCGTCTCCTAAATAGAGGTGTACTCTACTTAATATTGGAGTGTATCTTATAGAGAGATGATCATTATGATGAGGCGTAGATTAACTAGAGGGTTTTCGATTAGACGACTCTCCCCATCCTTGGCCACCCAATATTTTTAAAAAGCCGTTCCTTAAATAGAGGTGTATCTAATATTGGGGGTATTTACAAACAAGGTTCATCATTAAAATTGATTTTCAATTTCAGGAACTTGCCAAATACGAAGAATCGATAAAAATAATAAAAAATAATTTAATGGCACAACTACACAATTTATCTCCACAAATCCCAATTGAAAGGCTTTATCAAGAAACTAATGAATTTAGCAATAAACTTTTAGAAATTGGACGGAAAAGAGGCAAAAGAGGAATTTCCTCTTTAAATAAAGAAAAACAACAATTAAATATTCAACAAAATTGGACATTTGTTAATTCGATTTTGTTTGCCATTTCTTTAATTTCGAGAATTGGTAATGTTGTAATACTGTCGGACCTCACTTATATATCACATATAGAGACCGGACAGGGAGTTGATCCGTTGATTTTGAAGTTTTGAGATCTCAATGAAGAAAGATGTTATGGACTTTGTTCTTTTTGCTTTTTCACTCTATATCGATAGAGATGATCATAGGATTTTTTGTTGAATTTTTCTAACATTCCTGGTATGAGAACCCAAAGTGGTGTTATAATTATGTATGAAACACCTAATTTTTCGGCAAAAAATCATAAAAAAATTAAACTGCAAAGAAAACCTTTAAAACTCCCTCAATCCTAATATTTATATTATACCTAATTCTGGGAAAAAATTCGCCCCGATTGTCCCATTGTAAATATGAGTAACACCAAAATGTTAGGTGGTGTTATAATTATGAAACGGAGTGTACGAGAATCGAGATCTAGAAAAATTCTCAATCTCAATAACCGAGATTTTCGATCGAGATCTCGTCTCGGTCCGGTCTCTAATCCCCTATGTATTTTTTAGAATTCGATAGGACATGGGAGGAGTTTCTAAGTGATACTCCCTGTTTTGATTCACCCCCATCTAACTTGACTCTCAGTTATGTGTAGGGCCGTTATCCACTATAATATACGATTTTCCGGATCAAGAGTTCGCTTATACATAACGATTATTTCGTTATAGACTCCTATAGTAAGGATGGTCTCAATTTTAATTCACTCCCTACTAATTGGCCTCTCAGTTAGGTACACGGTTTCATCCACTAGAATATACGATCTTCCTGTCCCAAGGGGCATATGTATATAAACGAGGTCTGACTACATATTAAAAATTTTTAAAATATTTTTAAAGGATATGGACATTTGGTCCCATTAACACCAACTGGAAAAACTTTAATTTTTCCATTTGCAATTTTTGGAATTCCTCTTTTTATTTTGCTTGTTGCCGATTTGGCCAAAACCTTTTCATTATTGTTTAATTGGATTTGTAGAATATCTGCTAATTGTTGGAGAAAATTTAGAAAACGGTTAAGTCCTTCTCAAGCAAAAGAAATTAAATTGAATGGAAAGAATGTTTTGAGTAAGAAAATTAAATTTTTTTCATTTAAAAATTATACAATCGAGCCTCGCCATAAGATACCTTTTTGGGGTTGAATAAACTTGTACCTTAAAATTTGGTGTAGCTTAAATAGAGGTTATTATTTAGACAGCTCTGGTTAGACACGTTAGACACATTTTTAGATAACATTCCTTAAACTGAGGTGTATTTAGTATTGGGAGTCTATTATAAAGAGGTATGCCTTATAATGAAGGTTCCTTATATTGAAGTGTATCTGAATAGAGGGCATTGTTTAGGGGCTTCCCCTCACCCAATAACCAACTTTAAACAAACGTATCTTAAATAGAGGGTATCTAGTATAGAGATATTAGGTTTATCTTATAGAGAGGTTCGACTGTATACCTAAATTAGTTAATAATTAAAATTTTATTTTAAAAGAAAAAGAATCTCCTAAAAACTGTTGTGGTCAAAAATCACCAATAGCCACTACTTGCTCCAACAAAAGCGAAAAAACAATTAAATCACAAAATAATTCTCAACCGGAAAATGAATCAAAAATATTTTTATTTTTCCTATTTTTATTAATTTGGAGTATTTTATCTTTTATTTATTTATTTTTGGAAAATTGGAATATTTTGGATTGTTTTTATTTTGTTTTTATTACAATTTGTTCTGTTGGTTAGTTTGTGATTTAAATTTAAATAAAAAAAATTTTTGAAAGGTTTTGGAGATTTTGCACCAAATACTTTAATTTCTACATTTTTTACTATTTTTATTATTATTCCGAGTTTTGCATTGTGAGTTTTATTTTTAACTACACCTTAACCTCATTTTTATATTCACCTTTGGAGCCGAAAAAATCGTACATTATACTGAAGTGTGTCTTAAATAAGGAGGTGCTGTTTAGGAGAATTCTTCATTATGGGACACCCCATTAGCCACCTGTAGCCACCCAATTTTTCAAATCGTTTCTTAAATAGAGGTGTATATATAGTGAGGGTATCTTATAATAAGGTCTGCCTCTAAGATACCCCCAATACTAGATACACTTTTATTTAAGAGACTTTCTAAGTTTGGCTGTTCACTGGGCAGGGAAGCTGGCTAAGCGTTACTCTCTGTCTAAGATAACCCCCATGATAAGATACGATTTTTTGGCTCTAAGGAGGTTTATAAAAGTGAGGACGAATAAATATGTACTTATATTTAAATTTATTAATTTTAGCATTAAATTGCTCATTGATTTAATTGGAATATTTTATATTAAAAAGTTTGATTATTTTTGTAATAAATTTGAAAGCCTTTACAATTGGGTAAAAAGAAAATTTGCAAAAAGAAAAACAAAAAGAAGAACATAAAATTTTTAATTGTAAATTAATTTAAATTTGTAAATATTATTTTAATTAAATTTTTAATCTTGAGCGAGGCGATTTTGGTGTCATTCAACGTATTCCGTCGAGCTTAGTCGAATCCTGTGAAAATGGATTTAATAGATTTATTCGAATTAGAAACAGGACCAATCTTTATTGTTTGTTCCATTTTAGAGTTCAAATTTTCATTATTAGAACTCGATTGGTCCTTTAATCGAGTCCTAGTCTTGGTCACTATCTTTATGGGGATGATTGCAGTTAATACAGTGGGCTTTCCAAACAAACTCGAATTCTCAATCAAGTTTTATTAAGTTATCTAACTTCTAATAAATAAATCTTTTTTGATTGTTCCGAAATTTAGAGCCCAAAATTCTATTGCGCCACAAACGCTGGCGCTAAAAATCTTCTATGAACCCAATATTATTGTTTACACAGAGCCCAAAATTCCGATAATTTGGAGGGCTCTCCAAATAACCTTCCGAAAAATCTTGCGAAAATTCCCAACCTTTCGAAAAATCTAGGAGACCAACTTTCCGGTTTTCAAATCTCCAGACACCGCATAAAAAAGAGGGAACATCAAAATTTCTTAGGTCTCTACCTAATAGAGCCTTCCTATACTCTTGGTCTTGAGTCTTGATTCCAAGACTTTTCTTGGGTTTTGTTCGGTGCTGGAAGGCTCTACTACCTAATTTGCTACCAAACAAAATTTCAAAAAAAAATTTTTTCCTCCCAAAACATTTTATACTTTACAACCAAAGAAACAACAAATAAATTACACACAGAATATAATACACAATTACCTAATTTATCTACTACAAGAATTTATATTTATTTCCTTCTTCATTACACACAATTTGTTGCCTAGATAAAAGTTTTCCTTTCTTCCTCAGCTTCTGTCCCCTCTTCGGCTGGCGGTTTTTTCTTCTGTTCCTTTGCCTTCTTCTTTGAGCAGAAACACCAAATTGCAGAAATGGTTATACAGAAACTTGAAAAAAAAATTTTTTAATTATAAAAAAATTAAAAAAACGAACATAGCAATGCCGGCAGAGAATTGAGAAGAACAATCATTAGGCGCCGCCAAGCCATACACGCAGGAATAGAACGGTACTGACATTTGATTTGAACCAACTAGAATAGTTTGAATATTAATGCGGATTATGAAGTCGCGCCCCCTTTTATACAATCCCTTGGGTCTCTTATAATGAGATGTATTCTATATAGTGGGCAGCACCCAATAGTGGTTAACCAGATTTTAATGGGTTGGGGCCAGTTGAGTGTCATATAGAAAGAGTTTTGCCAAAGTTTAGCCACCGGGCAGGACACCTACGACCTCCTTGCAGTTTTCGAACCTGCGATCTCCATGCTCTCGCTCACCGCTTATAGGAGCTCTACCACTGAGCTTGACTAATGCTTTCTCTTTTTAGATCGTTTAACCCACGCCTAGACGTTTCGAATGTCGCTAGGTGAATAATCCTTACAATATCATTCGAAAGCCCTCGATGAGCCCAATCTTTTTTCCAGCTGGATGGATCAAGTCAGATCACCCTTTAATTGGGGGTATCAAAAAATGAAGTTTGAAAGGAGAATTAAATACGAAATTAAGGTACTCCTAAATCCCAAGTATAAAAGCAATAAAGTTTTAAAATTTTGTCACTTTCCTCCCAATGTCAACACTGTTCAATTCCTGCGCGTTTGGTTTGTCGTCAACGAAAGATGATTATTTTCCATTCTCTGCCGGCTTTGCTATGTACGTTTTTATATTTTTGAAATTTTTTAATTCAAAAAAAATTTTTCTTTTCAAGTTTTTGCATGACCATTTCAACGATTTGGTGCTTCTGCTGCTCAAAGAAAAAGAAGGGAGATGACAAGGAGGATAACAAAAGACAATCAAAAGTAAAGTCTCCTCCTCCTATTCCAGCTGCCAAAAAAACTGATTCTGCAGCCAAAAAGAGGCGATATTCGGCAACACCTGACAAAGCAAAGCGACAGCAAGCCCAAGCTAGGGTTCGAATACCGGTTGTGAAGCCGGTCGTTGCTGGGAATCCAAAGGCAAAGGGTGGAGATGGTGGAAGTAAGACGAAGAAACCAGGAGATAGAGCAGGGCGGGTAGATCCAACTACATCAAGTCCTACTACAGACAGTGCTCTGCTGACGGTGGAACCAGATGAATCTGATTTCAAAATGGAAGACTTCAAAATGGAAAACAATACCAAAATGGAAGACAATAAAGAAAGTGGAGGAGTGAATTAAATTAAAAATATATGTACAGTTGTGAATATAATAATTTTTTTTGTGTATTTTATATGTATGATGTATTGTTTTTGTTAAAATTCTATGCTTGTATATTTTATTGTACCGTTGAATAAAATTTTTGGTATATCGTAATAAAGTCTGGCCTAAGTTGTTAATACTCTTTTGGGGGTGATGTACTTTATAATGAAGTGTGTCTTAAATAGAGGGTATATTTCGATTCTTTTGACGTGTGTTAAATTAGGAAGAGAACGAGCTGGATCGTGTCCAGACCTTGACTTTTCCTGGACCCACAGTCAAGATCAAGGCATTTTTCAGCGTTCCTTGATTTTCCCTTGACTCAATGTCTAGAATATGGTCAAGTGCTCACTTAAAATAAAGGTCATGGATCAATGTCAAGGTTTTTTAAAAATCCCGCTCTCTATTAGTAAGCCAATGAATTATATCTTAAATTATGAGGTTACTTAGGCTTCAGGGGTGGCCGGGTTCGACTTTCGTATTTCGCCTTTCGCTTTTTAAAATCAGTTGGACACCTTTTTGTTAGGCAGCTCTCCCTACCCAGCAGCTGACCAAATTCAAAAAAAGCCTCTTAAATAGAGGTGTAGCGTCTCTTATAATCAGGTTTTACTGTTTTCTACCCTAAAAAAGCCCTCTAATCGTTTAAATTAATAAACAAATAAATAGGTATTTTGTGTTTACAAGTAAACAACCTTTTAAATTATTCTCTTATCGATAGACTCGCAAAGTGTTATTTTGGCTGTCATTTCTTCTCTTTCATAGAAATCGTCTTTACTCATCTCCTCCTTTACCTTGGCTTGCTAGTAAAAACTTTAGTTTTACACCTGCATATAGCAAAATAAATTGAATAGAAAATGGCGAAATTAATTTTTATTTTATGCAGCAACAAATAAAAAAAAATTAATTTTTGGCATAATGTCTATTTTTACAACAATGCCCTCCTTATTTAACAGATTTTCCCCTTCTTCCCTTATTTTTCATTTTTCTTCCCCATTCATTTAAACTTTTATACATAAAATTTCATTCCTTTTCTAGACCTTCCTTTAACATAAAATTAAAAAATGGTTTATGGAATTGCTAACAAAACTATTAAACTCTTTTTGTTTACAACAAATTTATTGATTTTTATTTTTGGTGGGTTGCTTTTTAGCTTTTCGTTATGGGTAAGAAATTGAAAAAAATAAACAAGAAAATTCTACAATTTTAAGGCAAATTTGGACAGAAATTTTGCTTCCCATTTACATGATTTTACTCAAAAAATTAAAATGTATAATGAATTGGTGGATAAAGTGGCGACTGTAAATTAAATTAAAAATTTAAAAAATTAATTAAAAATTAGTATCAATCATCGTTATGGATTTTGGTTGCAATCGGAGCTCTGCTAATGGTTGTTGGTTTCTTGGGGTGTTGCGGAGCTTCTTGTGAAAACATTTTTCTTTTGACTTTGGTGAAAGATTGAAATTAAATTATAGCAAAACCTCATTATAAGATACTCCTTGAGGGCTGAAAAATCGTCTCTTATAGCGAGATGTCCATTAAATAGAGGGTATTGCTGGGACAGGTCTCCCACTCGATGGGCAACCATTTTTTAAAGAGCGTCTCTTAAATAGAGGTGTATCTAGTATTGGGGGTATCTTATATCGAGGTTTTGCCTGGAGGGGGTCTCTTATAATGAGCGTCTATTAATTTTTCTTTTTAGTTTTCAATTGTCTTGATTGCTCTGTCATTAATTGAAGCCTATGTTTTGATTGCTCTCTTTACTAACAAAGACGTTTTACTTGATGACTTGCAAGGTGCTTTAGCAAAAAGTTCTGAAACTCCGGAAGGACGTCAAAATTTGAAGCCAATAGAAGACTTGTTAAATTGTTGCGGGGCAACTGCAAAGACTAGACTTTTATATGTTAATGAAGGATTGTGTGCTGGCGAATTGGCTAAAACTGTATGGGAATACAGTTGGATCTCGCTATAAGATACACCCAATACTAGGTACTCCTCAGTTTAAGACATGGTCTAGCTGTTAAGTGGTAGTCTCTTATAATGAGATGTACCTCTATTTAATAGACACCTACGATTTTTCAGAGGAGTCTCTTATAATGAGCTTTTCGCATATATCTAAGGGCTTAGGCTTTACCCTCTATTTAATAGACACCTCTTTATAGGAGACTATCTTTCCTGTTACGAGGGTGTATCTTATAGTCAGATCCGATTTTAATTTTAATTAAAAAAATTTTTTAAATTTTTTAAAGGAAGACTGTTTTAATGTTCTCTCGTCTAAAATTGATTTGATGGGAGCTACAATTGTTAAATTTGGTCTTTTGCTTTTGCTGCTTCAATTGACTTCAGTTTTCTTTTCGAGTCTTCTTTGCAAAGCTTTCCGCGATTATTACTCGCCTGTTGGTTATACTTCTACTTACTATCGGGATTGAAGGGATTGACAAGAGGGGGATATAAAATAAATATTTTTTTTGAATTTGTTTTATTGACATAAATACTTAAATATATTTTGATTACATTTCTTGTATTGAATTTAACTTGCAATAAATCTTGTAAATCAAAATTGATTTTTCGATATTTAATTTTAGGTGAACCAGATTATAGATTGAGGTTTAGGGACCTTGTTTGTATTTTAGCACTCATTTTTGAAAGATTTGAGCCTGCGGCCTCCTACCATTGATCCGCTAATTCACCATAGCAGCGAGTCGGCACCAGACCTAAGGGTTTTAATGCTCTAAGTGAATCATCCCTATAGTCCTAACGTTAACTTTTGGCCTCAAGGATCAACATCGGCTGGGGGATGTAATCATTTGAATAAATAAGGTATATCAGGTTTGCAATTTGTTCTGAGTTGTCTGCAATCATGTCTTTATATAGCTTGATTTTAAAATATAAACTTAAACCCAAAAATTAATTTTTCGTATAAAAGCCTTCTAAATTTCGCTTCTATTCCTCCTGCTCTAAACAATACACCACAGCTCCAGTTAAATCAACCAAAACAATTTCCAATGCTGCTCGTAAAGAATTCCAGAGTTGCTCGTCTTCTTGTTTTGTTTCTACTTGCCAATCTAATTGTTGATGTTGCGTGCAAACAAAGTTTAGACGACGCCCCTCAATTTCGAATCAAAAGGGATGCAGAACAAGGAGGGGGAAAAGCTGTGTATATTCTTGTTGGTATTGGAGTGTAAGTTTTTCGTATTTAAAAATTTCAAAAATTTTCAAAAAAATTTTCAAAAAATTTTCAAAAAAATTTTCAAAAAATTTCAAAAAAATTTTCAAGAAATTAAAAAAAAATTTTTTTCAAAAAAATTTTCAAAAAATTTCAAAAAATTTCAAAAAAATTTCGAAAAAAAATTTCAAAAATTTCAAAAAATTTCAAAAAAATTTTCCCCTCAAAAAAAATTTTTTTTCTCTTTTTTCAGTTTTCTCGCTCTTATAATAGCTGCTTTGGTTTGCTTCTTTATTTGCAAGTCTAAAGATGAAGATGATGGTAAAACAAAAACTATTGATAAGACAAGCGAGGCGAAGCCTGTTGGAAGGAAGACGATGACTAAGAAAAAATGAAAGATTTATAAAAAGAAGAGTGAAAAAATATTGTTAATTGTCTGTAAAATATGTGTTTTGTGTGTATATAATTTATGTATAATTTTCTCTAAATTTAAATATAAAGTTTAATGAAAGTGTATTTGGATTTCGCTTTCATATATCCACATTAAGACAAACCTTTTGGGGGTGAGAAAAACTCGTATCTAAGAATGAGGGGTACATAAGATTGGAGAAGTCGCTTTATCGCTTTAGCAGCCCTACCCAGAGGGCAAATAGCCTTTAAAAACGAACAAAAAAGTTAGGGGTTTGTAGGATTTTGAGGAAGACTATTGATAATACAATTGAGTCGAAATTTATTGGGTGAAAGACGATAACTAAGAAGGTTTGCTGTAATATTGAGGATATATCCAAAACCCGGATCTAATTTTAGTTTTTGGGCAAATTCACGAAAATTATTGTCAAAATTTTTATCCAAATTTGCCTAAAAATCTTTTTCTTTTAAAAAATAACTATAAATGCCAAACCTCACTATAAGGTAACCCGTGGACAGGAAAAATGGTCTCTTATAATGAGGTGTTCCTTAAATAGAGAGTAGGTTAAAATGAGAAGTATTTTATAATGATTGTCTGTAAAATATATGTTTTCCAGCTCAGACTGTTTGTAATTATGAATAAGGAAAATTGTATCAAGGAAAAGGACAGTTAAGGGTTAATCATTAAAAACCCTTTAGACAAGACACAGAATTGAATGCTTTTTTTAATTTATTCATTTTGTACTATGAATTGTTTTGATTTTTTTTTCATATTTTTTGGTCTTTCAAAAATAAATAAAAAAACAAATCTTATCATTTCTGTGCATCAATTTCTCAATTTTTCTTATCTATTTTTTGAATAAACAAAAAATTGTCAATTACTTAAAATAATATTTTTGTTGATAATTTATTTATTAGAGTTGATTTGCCTCCCAAAAAATAAGCTGACTTTTTGACTACTGGAATATTCCATAATTTTGTTCAGTTCAAGCTTCCTGTTAGACACTTGTTTTATGCCTAGTTTATGCATATCAGAGAGTGTGCCAACCGCATTTTATCAAAAAACGAAAGAAGACCAAAATTAAATTAAAAACGAAATGAGAGAGATAATTGTGGCACATTAGGGATAAGAGAGAGAGAAAGCAAGAGCTTGATATATTGGGCTCCGGCTACGACCTTTTTCCAGAACTTGGCTCCGGCTTAAAGGTTTAAAATTCTTGGCTACAGCTCCGGAAATAGCTTTCGGAGCTTATACCTTTCGCAGAGCACCCACTCATATAATGCTTTTTTAACAAAGAAAAAAATTCTCATTTTAAGCGCTTTTCATTTTTACAAGTTAAAAATGACGTGTTTTCATTTAAGCAAAAATATACAAAAATATAAATATAATTGTGATTCAATATTTTTAACATTTATTTTTTACAAAAATAAAAAAAATTTTTTTTAGATTTTAAATTCTATTAAAAATAAACTCAAAAAAATAATTTTTACAAGATGGTTTATGGTGCAGCTAATCAAATGATTAAATTTTTTGTTTTCATAGCCAATTTTCTAATTTTTCTTTTTGGCGGGCTTCTTTTTGGATTTTCGCTTTGGGTATTTAAATGTCGGACGGACCTCACTATAAGATCACACAATACTCACTTTTAAATATGACCTCTATTTAAGAGACGTCTTATAAAATTTAATTGGGGAGGAGCGTGGGCTGTGAGAACCCTCTATGTAAGGAACAGCTCATTATAAGACACCTCTCATTTTAGCCTACCTTCTATTTAAGGAACAACTCATTATAAGAGACCTCTCGTTTAAACATACCCTCCATTTAAGGAACACCTCATTATAAGATACCCCTCACTTTAACCTACCCTCTATTTATGGAACACCCCATTATAAGATACCTCTCATTTTAGCCTACCCTCTATTTAAGGAACACCTCATTATAAGAGACTATTTTTCCAGCCTATGGGTTATCTTATAGTGAAGTCTGGCAATTAAAATCATTTTTTTAATTTAATACAAAATTTTTTAGGCAAATTTGGATAAAAATTTTGACAATAATTTTCGCGAATTTGCCCAAAAACTAAAATTAGATAACAAAATTATTGATTTATTAGCCCAGGTATTTAAATTAATTTTAAATTATTTAAATAATTAAAAAAGTACCAATCATGTTTGTGGATTCTTGTAGCAGTTGGGGCGCTTTTGTTGGTTGTTGGATTTTTGGGATGTTGTGGGGCTGCTTGTGAGAGTTTGGTGCTTCTAAGTTTGGTTAGTCTTTTTTTGAAGGAAAAAATTTAGAAAATAAATTTTTTAAGTTTTCAATTCTCATTTTAATCCTTTCATTAATTGAATTGTATGTTCTTATATCTTTGTTTACTAATAGAGGAGAATTATTAGAGAATCTACATGGCGCTTTTGGTAAAAATTGCTTTTATTAATACATTAAATACTACTGAGCCTCCCTATAAGCTACTTTCACAAGAAAATACAAGAAACCTCTGTTTAAGATACGCTTCAATATAAGGCACGATTCTTTCATTGTCAATGAGTTTTTTACATATAGGTATACATTTGTAATAACCATGTTTAGGTGTCTAGGCGCTACCGTCCATTTAAAATATAAAACCCTCTATATAAAAAACCTCATTATAAGAGATGGTTTTTCAGTCCCGAGGTTATCCTTTAATGAGGTCCGACTGTAGTTGATTCAAAAATCTTTTTTTTAGTTAAAAGCGCAGAAACAGTAGATGGTCGAAAGAATTTAAAACCGATAGAGGATTTATTACAATGTTGTGGTGCTACTATTGAAACCAAACAAACTTATATTAAAGAAAATTTATGTCCTGGGGAATTAAAGGATAAGGTAAAAATTTAAGCTAGTGGGATAGTGGGATAAAATCCTATTGGAAGCTTTGACAGACTGATCGTTCGCATGATGTGCGCCAAAATTCTCACATGGCGCGCCTTCTCTGTTCCACCACATTCCTTAATAGCTCGACTCAATCCGGCCCTTAGAGGGTGTGTTAGAATGATTTGACTTTCCTTCATAGTTAGCAAAAGCTGATACAAGGTGCTAACGGGTTTAGAGAAATTCGACTTTCTCATATAGACAGCTCACTCTATTTAGAGGCCAAATAACTTTTAAAAAATATATAGAGGGTGTTGAATATTAGGAGGGTATGTAAGAACGAGACCAAGCTGGGTCTGGACCAAGGCCTGGGTTTTTTCTGTACCCAGAGTCCAGGCCCAGGCATTTTTTGACCTTCCTGGGTTTTTCATGGACTATGGGCCCAGGATCCATCCCAGGTCAATAAATCAAACCCGGAACCCAAGAACAGGTCTAGGCTTTTCAAAAATCTCGATCTCTGGTATGTAAGACCCGACTAAATATTAAATTTATTTTTATTTAATTTAGGAGGATTGTTACACTTCATTAACCGGAAAAATAGATTCAATGGGTAATGGATTATTTTTGTGTGGAATTCTACTTTTACTTGTCCAATTCTTTTCAATAATGTTTTCAAATATTCTTTGCAAAGCATTTCAAGAACATGGGCCGATTAACTATGCTTGAAAATTTTTTTAATTTTTTAATTAAAAATGTGAATAAATATTAATTAAAAAATAAATTATTTTGAAACGAGAATTAATAAAGACTTAATTAATAAATTTAGAATTTAATATTTATTTATAAAATATTTTAAGTTATCTCAGGATTGCTATTTTAATTAGTAAAAATTTTAGCTTTGATTTCCCTCATAAAAAGGAAAACTAATTAGGGGTCTTTAACTCAAAAATGAGCGAAAAAAACGAGAAATAAATGTTTTCAAATATTACGAGAAAAATTTACAGAATTTATTAAAATTTACAAAATAGATTTACAAAAAAATAAATCTACAAATTTAAAGAAAATTTATCGAGGAATGAACTTAATTAATTAACAAAAAAAAATTAAGTCTTAATCTCATAATAAAAAGGAAGAGATTAATATTTATCACCAACATCTTTTAATTAATTACACAATTAAAAATATAATAAATTTTCCCCCAAGAGTGTTAATAAATATTCCCGAACATAAAAACAACTATTTGGATAAATATCCGGATGTCCAACAATTTAATTATTTAAATAATTAATTATCTACAAATTTTCCTTTTATTTTGTCCATTAAAAGAAAAAATCGCTAAAAAATTATTTTTTCTCTTTTTTCTCCTAATTTGATTAAAATAACAAAAAAAAAATAATTTTCTACACAAGTTTTATAAAAATAATTTTTTTATATCTATTAATTATTTCCTAATTTTCCTTAAACATATTAAGAAAATAAACAAACAGTTTTACAAACAAGGCAGTTTCTGGTTTTACTTTCACTCATTTTTTTCTTCCCTATTTTTGCTTTCTTTTCCAACCCAATTCGCTAGCCGTTCCATATATAATATTTTTTTAATAAATGGAAAATATTTGGAAATATTTTTGCGCAAAATTTTTTTGACTTTTTTAATTTATGGACAAAAAGCATTAAGGAAAGGAGACGTTTGGGCGCAACAACGATTAGGCGCTCGATAATATAAAAAAGTTTAAAGAGCACCTGGAACCGTGAAATTTTGTACTGATATTCCAAATGAGTTAGCTAAACGCTCTAAAAATTTTAGAATTTTTGATGGGATATCTGCCAAGTTGTGGTCGAAAAGGTCGATTTAAAAGAGAAAAATTTCGAACTTTTCCAGGGTTTTCAATAAAATTTCTGAAATATTATAATTTAAAAATTCTGAATTTTTCTGAGGGGTTAGTTAACACTTTTATGTACATTCCGGCAAAATTTCACTCCTACAAGTCATTATTTAACGAATTTATAAGCCAGCGCCCAAACGTAGTTCTTACCTAAACCTTAGCAACCTGTAATAGATATAAGCAATAATTCACTTTCCGAAAAAAGTTTAATTTTTCCTCAAGTTTCAGTCTATACTTTCGTTTTCATTCAGAACAAAAAAATTTTCCCTTTTCAACTTTGACTCTTCCGACTCGCGCCACGCAGTTTTTTTGACAAATGCGACAATGCTACTTATTACCTTTCCACCCTCCCATTTTTTGCTTCTTCTCCGTGTCCTCTCTATTTTTTATGACTAACAATGAATAACGACCACCCAATGAGAGGGCCAATAAAGGAAATACAAAGACCCAAAAAAAATAAAAATTTATTTGGCAAGAAGACACAAACATAAAAACGAGTTTACACGTCTCCTTCGCTCATTTCCCTTTTTTCCTGGCCAAAATGCAAAGCCTTTATAAAGGCAACGGGAAGAAGCATTCAACAAGCATTCATTCCTCCAAGAATACTTGCAGCAATGGACTCCTCAGAGTTCTCCGAAAAGCAAAATCAACGCCAAGAGGCAGAAACCCTTCGAGCTGTTGCTTTCTTTGGTGTTTGTCTTTCTACAGTGGCAACACTGATATGTGTGATTACAGTCCCACTTGCTTACCAACATTTCCAACAAGTTGGAACCCAAATGCAGAATGAAGTTGACTTTTGTAAACTCCGTTCTGGAAACATTTGGCGTGAAGTAACCCGCACTCAAGTGCTTTCTGATGTCCACGGAGTTGGTATTATACGTGAACCTCGTGCAGCACCAACAATGAAGACTGGATCAACTAAAAAGACAACAGGAAAGCGTTCAAGTAACAGCAAGGCGTTGGCAGCGAAACCTGTACGTCGTCAAGCTTATGGTGGTGGTGGAGGTACAAGCTTAGGAGTCACAAGCAGTTCTAGTGGAGGAGGCGGTGGTGGAGGATGCTGCGGTTGTGGGCAATCACCACCTGGACCCCCAGGACCACCTGGTCCACCTGGACCTCCAGGAGGTAGGAAGAGGAATTTCAAAACTACATAACCTATATAACAAATTTCAGGTGATGGAACACCCGGAGGAAACGGACCTCCAGGCCCTGATGCTGAAGCACCTCCAGCAGCAGAAAGTTATGGAGGAGGTTGCACACCAGAATGCGAAGCTGCTCAACCAGGAGGCCCTGGACCAGCTGGCCCACCTGGTCCCGCTGGACAGCCTGGACCTCCTGGACCTTCTGCACCAGCAAGCCCTGGACCACCTGGTCCCCCTGGACCACCAGGACCCGATGGACAACCCGGAGGACCTGGAAACGAAGGACCACCCGGACCACCTGGACAACTTACAGAAGGTAAAGAATAGTAGCAAAGATTAAAATTAATTATTATATCAATTTAGGACCAGGTTCAACTGGCCCACCCGGACCACCTGGACCCGATGGACAGCCTGGAGGACCTGGAGAAGCTGGAGCACCTGGAGGACCCGGAAATCCTGGCGGGCAAGGTCCTCCTGGAGACCAAGGACCCCCCGGCGGACCTGGAGCACCAGGAAACCCTGGAACAGATGGAGGAAAAGGAAACGATGGAGGACATGGAGAGTGCAGTCATTGTCCACCTCCAAGAACTGCGCCAGGATATTAAGCAAAAGTATATGAAATGTCCCAAAACTGCTCAATTTGAAGAAATAGATTTTTTAAAGAAATATCTAATAATTTTATTATTATATCTTTCATTCCTAATGTATCAGAAAAAATTTTAAACAAAATAAAAATTGATAGATTGTCTATACAAAATTTAAAACGAGAAAACTATCTGAAATATTACAGTATACAAATATTTTTAAGGCCCAAACTTAACTAAATGCCATTACATCCCAAACCTCAAATAAATGACACTTTATCCCATTTTCCCTCCAATGAGATAATTCGAATTTCTAACAAATTTACCTCTGCCCTATCCATGAAATAAGAAAAAAATTTGGCTTTTGAATTATTTGAAAATTAGAAAGGCTCTCTCCCACCTCTCCAATATTCCAAAAAATTTTTTTTCAAAATTCTTTTATTGTCCAAATAAATTTTTCAGTTTGAAATCTCAGATCTCTAAATAACTATCCGCTTGATTTTAAATTCCTAGGCACCAGAGGTGGATTGGAACAGTCAGAGGTGTCGGAACCCGGAAGAGCCGGAAATCGGAACTGGCTCAAAAGTCGGAACTCGGAAATCGGAATTCCGATTCACCTCTGCTAGGCACTAAGGTATAACGAGTTCTCTATCAACAAGTATCCACCTCTAAAACCTCTCTACCTGTGAGTGCCTATTCAAGCTTTTGTAGGTAATTTAACTAAAATATTATCATTAATTCTATCAAATTGTCTGTTATCGTTTCTTAAAAAATTAAAAAAAATATTTAATAGTTTATATATTTAATTCCGTTTGCTAAACTAGATTTGTGTTTGTTTGAGAATCTATAAAAACAAAAAAAAATCTGAAAAGAACTACATAAATCTGTCGACAATAAAAATGGAAAAAAAGAAGATTTAGGCAGGCGCCTAATTTGTGGTTTAAAAGAGAGAAAAAGTGAAAATATAAAAGAGAAAAATACCTGAATAAATGGATATCTTTTATGTTTTTTACAAAAATTATTTTATAAAGATTGCTGTTTTATTCCTTAATTTCTTTGAGATAATCGAACCAAAAAAGCATAATTCCCCGCTTTAGGCAATATTTGTCTTGAGGGTTCGGCCTGTTAAGGTTAAGTTCCCTCCTTGAATCCTCAAGTTTTCTTACGCCCTCGAATCTGTTAAAGAGTTAGAAATTACAATCAACCCTCTGAAATAGCAGTGCGGGGTATTCCGGAGACTAGCTCCAATGATGGATTTTGACCGGAATCGGGGCCAAGATTTGAAAAAACCTACAGCCGCCACATAACGCCTAATACCCAGCATTGTAAAATTTTTAGGGGTCGTCGGAAATGGCGAAGGTGCCGGAAATCGGAAGTCGGAAATCGAAATTCCGATCGACTCCTTTTTTCTAGGCGAAAGTTGATTTAATTACATATCAACCTAAGGTATTTTAGGATATGCAGTCCCCATTTATTAAAAAACCAAAGACCAATATTCACAATTCATTTAAATTTCCACAAATCTTTTTTCTCAACTTTCTCCCTTATTACTTTCTCCCTTTTCTCAACTCTCGTTTGTGACGGATTAACACGAGTTTTTTTTTAAATAAAATGAACAAGAAAAGGATCGCGCAGAAAACAAAGAATTAGGGAAAGGGGTTAATAGAGAAAGGTAGAGGAGAGAAGAGAAGAATTGATGCCACAAAAAGATGGAGAAGATGGAATTTGGTGAAATTTAATAGATTGATGGAATATAAAGAAGGTGAAGTAAAAAACTTATGAATTGTGGATTAGAAGAAGAAAAAGTTTTTTGTTGTGGTAGATGATCGGGAAGAAGAAGAAAAAGTATAAAAGGAAAAAGAAAAGGCTTGTGTCTATTTTTAATTATTACTTACTTGCTGGGTGGCAAGAGACAAGACAACAATAGCCGACGGCATTCAACTAGCATAAACTTTGTATAGAACAAAAATATTATAAAAACTGGCTTTTCTTTTTTTTTGTTTAGAAATCTTCTTTTATTTTTAATCAAAAATGTCATTTATATTTTTATTTTTGAACAAAATTTAAATATTTTTATTTTTGTAGATGAAGAAATTTAACGAAATTGAACACAAAAATGATAAAGATTCGTGGAATGAGGAGACTGAAATGAAAAGATTATTAATTGAAGCAGATCATTTTAAAAAACTTGCCTTTTGGGGTTTATTTGTTTGTACAGGTAGTACTATAATACAGCCGGGAATATTTTTTGGATACCCCAAAAATCCTAAACGCCTCAATACCCCCAAGCGCCTCAATTTAAGATACGTTAAAGCAAAATTTTCTATTAACCTGATCAAACCTCATAGCTTGACAGGTTAGGGATAAAGATATTACAACCAGTCTTATCAAACACCTCAAATCGAAGGATCCCTCGCCAGCATGCTCAAGGAGGGTAGAAACCCCTTAAAAGACTTTTCGGCCCCAAGAGAGTTATAAGTAGCGAGTCCACTGTATTAGATTTAAAAAATATTTTTTAAAAATAGTCTCAACATTAACTGCCTCAATGTGTGTTCCTATGTTATTTTCGTATACACAATATGTACAGACTACTTTACAGGATGAACTTGGATTTTGTACACATCGAACAAATAATTTAATTAATGAACTTGAGAAAGTAAAAAAATATTTCAAAATTTTATATCGCAAAAATTTATGTTAATTTAAGTTAGAGTCTATTCATCGCCCCAAACGTTCTCCTTCACAATTTGCTACCGCCCATCGTTTCTTTATGTCAGGAACGCCACTCTCACATGCTAGATATACTCACAATAATGGAATGACTCGTAGAAAAGTCCGTCAAGGAGGCTATGAGCAAATTGCTGCAAGTTATAGCGCCTCCAATGGAGGACATGAAGTACCTCCTCCAGCTTCTTTCCCACAAACAAATGCTGGTTATCCACCTCAGCCACCTCCCTCAGCTCCAGTGGCCTCTGCCCCACCACAAAAGGGCTATGGTGGAGGTGAAAGTCAACAACAGCCAACAGTAGCTCCTTTAAAGTCGGAAGCGATACATCAAGAAGCACCATCATCACAGTGTTGCTCATGCGGCATCGGTCCAGTCGGACCACCTGGACCGCCTGGAGAGGATGTTATTCATTTAAATATAGAATAGAAACCTCTAAAACGATATCTTTTAGGGTCGTAATGGTCAGGATGGTTCTCCAGGCCAAGCTGGACAGCAAGGCCAAGATGCTCAGTTGTCAGATAGTGGTTACGGCGCAGCGGAACCTTGTTTTGACTGTCCGGGTATTAGAGCGATTTAAATAACCTATCTATATTTCTTTCCATATTTAGCTGCATTCCCCGGAGCACCCGGCAAGGCCGGTCCTAAGGGGCCTCCTGGCCCTCCAGGCTTGCCAGGGCAGCCAGGTTACTAATGCTAACTTTTTATTTTTAAATAATTTTAAGGAATTCCCGGTGCGCCAGGGCCTCAAGGTCCAATGGGGCAGCCAGGTCCACAAGGACCGAATGGTCCACCTGGCTCGCCTGGCCAGAGAGGTAAAAGAATGGATATAGGTACTTAAAAAATTGATTTTTGAGGACATGATGGACAACTTTTCGATGTTCCCGGCATTGAGGGACCACCCGGCCCGATTGGCCCGCCAGGCCCTCCTGGACAACCAGGGGCACCAGGAAAGAGCGGCCAAAGCAAGGTAGAGAACCTAAAAATGCTTTGAATTGAATTAATTACAGCCTGGACCTCCTGGGCCTATTGGTGATGCAGGACCTTTGGGTCCTCCTGGAAATCCAGGTCAACCTGGACAAAATGGCCAAGATGGTGATTCTGGCGGGAAGGTTTTGAACTATTTTTAATTAAAAAATATAAAAAATTTAGGGTGGCTGTGATCATTGTCCGGCGCCGCGAACTGCGCCAGGTTACTAAAAACTAAGGCAAAGAGAATATGATTGATTGTTAAAATAATTTTTAATTTATCTTTATTTTCATTCCACTTTTTTTTGTTTAAATATATTCTAACACTTTATAGTACTTACATACATATATTTATTGTTATATTAAAAATAAATTATTTATATTTAACTGAGTGATTAAGTTTTGGTTCTCTAAACATTCTCTGATTGTTAAAATTCTGCTTGTTGTACATATCATTCGAAAGCTTAATTCATCCCTCGTTTGGCTATACTGGCTCTGGCTTTATAAATTTTGTGCACATCATTCGAAAGTCGCGGAAGCCATAACAAAGCGGAGGAGTCGTTCCGCTAGTCATTCTCGACTTCCTCCTCTGCAGCAAAAGGGGTTGTTTCCCTTATGGGGGAAACTGCACTAGTGCTTAAACTTTCAGGATAAAGTTAAGGTTAAAATTTATTTATAAGGCCAATACCAAAAATTTATATTCAAATAAATTCAACAAACAAATTCACACTGTGAGCTATATAAAAATAGAAAATTTCTTTTTTTTATTCAACTAAAATCCACACACATTTTTAGCTTTATTCATCCCCCCCCTTACACACCCTTCTACTCCAACCACCATTTATTTTCCTCATTTCCTCTAAAACACCTTCCACTTTATGTCCTCAAAAGCAATTTTGTGTGTTAACAAGTCACAATCTTTTTTACTTTCCTTAAAAAAGGAGAAAAATGGCCACCATTCTTACTTAATTTTAACTAATTTGTCAAAAAAACTTGGGAAAACTTGAATAATTAAATTATTATTTATAGATTGATTTTTTTAAAAATATAGAAAATTTAAAAAAGACCCCCTTATAAGATAACCCCGATACTAAAAAACCCCAATACTCTATTTAAGAGACACTCTTTAAAAATTTGGTAGGGCCTGGGTTTGGGAGCTATTTGAGGACTCTCTCTATTTAACAGTAAATCCTCTATTTAAGGTACATCTCATTATAGAAGACGATTTTTTAACTTCAAGGGTATCTTATAGTGAGGGTAGGATTGATTTTTTCAAAAAAAATTTTTGAAAAAAATTTTTTGTCCAAAAAAAATTATTTTAAGCAACAGCTAAAATCTGTTCCAATAACATATTTTTATCCAGCCCTTTATTTTTTTTTAATATTTTTTTATTTCCTTTCCTCCACACATTTTATTTCTTTTTTTGATTCAAAAAAATAAATAAATTTATGCGAAAAAAAATTTTTTTTACTGAAAGAATATTTAACTAATTTTAATATTTTTAAATCTTTTAAATTAATTTTTTCATTAAATAAATGTAACATTTTAAATAAACTAGATTTTGTAAATTAATAATTAAACAACCTTTATCAAGGTTTAAATCTATAAATATTCCAAAACATACAAATTTTCTTTCTTTCTTTAATTTTAATTTTATAAATTTACAAGAAAAATTTGAAATAAAATTATACTTTATTTAATAAAAGGAGGATTTTATTTTTAATACCCTCAGTAAAAATCCCTTTATTATAGATACTTTAGGGAAGCCTTCTAAGCGATGCCCCGATACACCTCGTTTAAAAAAACTCCCCTGAGACTGAAAACCCCGTATATAAAAATTAGAGAGGTATATAAGATTGTATGTGACATTTAGGCTTAACTACACTCAGACTTGTTCTTCGTATATAGTGAGTATCCTTGATAGAAAGATCGCTTAGACGGCTTCCCCATCCAGTGGTCAGCTATTGGAAGTATTGTGAAGTATAAACGAGGTCCTAGTACTTTATTCTAAAAATTTTTAAAATTATTTTCCCAAATTTTTTTCTATTTTTTGTCACGATCATCTGCAATTTAATATTTAAAAAAGAAAAACAATTCTCCCCACTTCTCCCCTTTATTTCGTTCGCGAACAGCTTTTTCTTTTATTTATTTTAGCGTCTTAATTCAAATAATTTATATATATTTATTATTGCTTCTCATATTCTCTATTGGCCATTTATTTGTGAAAATATCCATCAAACACTTGAAATGATTAGTTAAAAATACTTTGCGCAGATCGAATTTAAAGAGAAATTTATTTTAATACAGGATTAAATAGGGAACAAAAATTATCAAGAATTTTCGAAGTCAAGAATTTCTAGTGAGGTCTAGTGAAAGCCTTTAGTGAGGTCCCCTTGTGTACACCCCCCCCCCTCTATCTTCCTAAAATTTACTTGTAACCTGTAAGTATTTGCTGTCAAACTTCAATTATAGACCCTCTTAGGTGTTGAAAAATAGTCTCTTATAGCTAGGTGTATCTTAGACTAGCGGCTTAGAGAGTTCTTCACACGGCTAAGCATATTTAAAGAACGTCTCTTAAATAGAGGTGTATCTGATATTTGGGGTTCTTATAAGGAGGTTATCTTATAATGAGGTATATCTTAGATAGAGGGTATTGTCTAGACACTCCTTTAGTTACTTTTCATCTTTTAAATGAGTGAGACTGAATTTAATATTTTTTTCTTTTAAAAAATTTTTAGCTTAAGAAATCTAAATTGTCATAGTTTTATAGAGAAAATAAAAAAACAAATTGGCATCAATTTTCTCAGTTTTCTCAGCAATAAAAAATCAACTTATTCACTATAAATATTTTTTATAATTTTTCACAATATTTATATTTAAAGTAAAAAATTAAAAAAAATATTTTTTTAATGTTTTATGCCGTAAATTCAGAAGACTCCCCCCCCCCCCACCCCCTTTAGGCCATAAATTCCAAATTTTCTGGATATCCTGACTTTTCCGGTTCCGGATTTCGAACCAGCCAACCCTAAACCCCCCCCCCCCTAGTTGCCAACCTGACCCCCTAGAACCCCCTAGTTGAATCCCCATAGTCTTTTGGTCCACTTCTTTGTCTCAAGCCCTAAAAAAATTTTTGGTCCTAGATATCTCTATTATAATTATTTTATTCTCATTTTACACTAAATTGAATATTAGTTTTGTTCATTTTTGTTTAAATTTTTTCTCTATTTTTTTTATTATTTCTTCAATTTGTTTTTCCCCAAAATTTAATCCCCCCCCCCCTTCCCTATTATTTCTATTGTCAAAAAATTGGTTTGTCAATTTTTCTCTCTCGTAGAGGCTAATCTCTCCCTTTCATTTTTAACCACAAAATGCTTTGCACTGTCCATCATTTTACTGACCGATTGCCATAAATGGTAGTTTTACTAGATAGTTTTGTTTGGGGGTAGGGCAAAGCACCGTCCGACAAAATACCGTTTAAATATTAAATTAGGAATTCCGTCCAGTTTTATTGACAATAAATTAGATTTATGTTGATATTACCGTATTACCTCGATTTGAATGCCCTCTGTATGATGATTGAAAAATAGAATGCCCCCTCCAATTGAATGCTCCTCCTCTAATTAAATCCCCCCCTAATATTATGCCTCTTTGGAAGGTGATTAAAAATAGAATGGCCGGGCATTCGATTACAAGTAATATGGTATGCTTCTTTAAATTTTTAAACCCTGAGGCTATTAGGCCATGTTTAGTACTATATACTCCTTTGCCTAAAAATTTTATTCTAAAATATTCCTCAAAGTGTAATAGGCAGTTTTTCCCAATGTGTGGACGGCGTTTAGTCGGACGGCGTATTTAACGTGTTTTGTTTAATCCTTTCTCAAACAATTTTTTATTTTTTGATTTTCAAACTATTTTTTAAAAATAAATTTAAAAATTTAATATTTTTAATTATTCAGAATTTAAAAAATTATTTTAAATGATGCTAAATTTTGAATTTTATAATAATGAATGAACTAAGGGAAAGCAAAACTCTTCCTTTTAGAGGTTAATCCGTTTAATTAAATTAATTTTAACTGCTAATTTTGTTAAAATAATTTTTATTATAAACGAGATCTTTGATCGAGATCTCGTCTTGGTCCGATCTTTACTCATGACTATACCTCAGTTCTTTCCTAAAATTCGTATTCTACTTTGTACTTACCTACATATTACTATATCGAATACGAAGCAAAATTTAAATTTCAGGTACTACTCAAAGAGCTCATCCATCCGAGCTCATTACTAACAGAAACTCATTTCTAAAACCCTCACATACTTAACGAGATCATTGGAAAAGTATTTACGGATTAGATAGGATCTGCCCAAACCGATAAGTATACAGGTATACCGATAAGTACTGCTCAAACAGGGTTGACGGGTCCGGATATCGGAAAAATTCAGTTTGGATATCGGATCCAGGATACACCAACCCTATGTCAAGAAACAGTTCTAGATAAACTAAAATATAATTTTGATTATTATAGATACTTTAATGTGCCAATCATTTACTTCTGTGCCAAAAACTTATATCAGAGCAGCCGACGAATTACTTCCTCTTTCACATGCCAGTCGTCTAGCTAGTCTTCCCAGCCTTTCCCCTCTTCCATTTTCTCATCGCCACCCTTCCCTAGCATTAACAACCGGTGCCGGTTCAGCTTCACATCCTTCTCGATTTTCGCCTTTAGAACCTCAACGGCCTCCTAGAGCCATTCCCCAGTCATTAACAAAATCATTGCCTAAAAGACAAGGAAGGATGACGACAGAAAGTTTTTCTAGAAATTTTTTAAAAATTTCAAAAAATTTTTCAAGAAAATTTGGACGAATTAGCCCCCCTCGGCAATGAATGGGAAAAATCACAGCCTGGAACTGGGATTTGTGGAAAATGTGTTCTTTGTTTACTACTTAATGCTGTGTTTGTTCTGGCCCTTTTCCTGGCTTTTCTGATTGGACATTTTGCGTCTGAAGCACATTTACCGTTAAATAATAAAGTAAAAAATTTAAAAAATTTTTGAGCTTTTGGTTGATTTAATAAAAAAATTAACAAAAAATGCTTATTTTTTAATTTATAAGACTGACAACTTAACTTTAAATAATTTATTATTAACCTCTAATAATGCTTCAATTAGTAAACTTAATCAAACAGCTTCAACTTTACAAAATCAGACGGAAATAAAACAAAAAGATTTGGAATTTGTGAAGGTAGAATTTCTTTGAATACAGTCGGGCCTCTGTATAAGGTACCCTCCTGGGCTGGAAATAGTCTCTTATAACGAGGTGTAATTTATAGAGGGTATCACTTAATAGTCTCTTACTATGAGGTGTATCTTTATCAGGTCATCATTTAAGTCTCTTATAATCAAGTATCTCTTAAATAGAGTACATCAAAATGGGAGCTAGTGATAGAAAAGCTCTTGACGTTGTGTTAAATATGGAGGGAGTGAACGAATTAGAGTATGAATTGAATGTCTAAACAAAAATTATTTTTAATTAAAGATATTTCTATGGAAGCTCCTCCACCTAGGAAGCCTACCAAAAATTTAAAAAAACGTCTCTAAAATAGAAAGTGTATTTGATAATGGGTGTAGCTTATAAGGAGGTCTAACTGTTATTTTTAACATAAATGCTTATTTTAACACTCTAACACTTAACAATAACATCTTCAGGGACACGCCCAAGTAGGCGCGCGGCCAGGTAGGCGCAAAGCCATAACTAGCTGCAAAATTTCTGGACCGCAACAATTTTGGTACCAATTTCTTTAGCTCGATGAGAGGAATCGTTTAATACGATTTAGAAAGATTCAGAAATATTTAAGCAAGTTATGGCTTTGCGCCTACATGGCCGTGCGCCTACTTGGGCTGTACCCACTTCTTACTTGGGCTGTACCCACTTCTGTGGCCGTGCGCCTACTTGGGCTGTACCCACTTCTTACTTGGGCTGTACCCACTTCTGTACCCACTTCTTCAAACCTTCTAATAAATTCCTTTCTTAAAGAATATTGAAAGAACAAGACAAACAATTAAAGATGTTTATCCCCCACAACTTTACGATTCTGAAAGTTTTTTTGATTCTCAAAGTGACCAAGATTTTGCGTTATTATCTCCTTTTAACAACGATGTTCACCATTCCACTACAAAATTAATTTCTCGTTCAGATTATCCATTAGTTCCTCTTCCAAGAATTGCTTTACCTAGGCATTACAATGTTGATGTATGTAAATTTTAAAAATATTTTTTTTATTTTTAAAGAGTTAAGCGTTGCTTCTGGGGGCAATAGCGGTGTTCCTTTTTCCTTCCAAAAACAAGACCATAACTTGGCAGGGGTTAAACATCTAAAAGGATAAAAGAGAAAGCATTGGTCGATGCCCCGGTAGATCAGTGGTAAAGCTCATATATGTGGTGAGCAGAGGTGGGTCGGAATTCCGATTTCCGACTTCCGATTTCCGACGTTTTTTTCCTTCCGATTTCCGATTTCCGAAAAAAAATTTTGATTTCCGATTTCCGAGTTCCGACTTTTGAGCCATTTCCGATTTCCGACAGTTCCGATTTCCGACACTTCTGACTGTTCCGACCCACCTCTGGTGGTGAGCTAAAGTCCTAACAATAACTTCAAGGAGGTCGCAGGCCAAACTGAATTTGGGATCCTGCCCGGTGGCTAAACTTTTGCCAAACTCATACTCCTTCTAAACCCATCAGATAAACCCCTCTACTCTTTACAAGAATTCCTATTTATTTTTAAATTTTAAAAATTCTTTTCTAGTTAGATTTAACAGAATTTTATGGCGTAGTTGATTGGCCTAGAATACGAGGAAATCTGTCAATTTTATTAGAAGCTTTTGGCAATGCAACAGACGACGAACTTTTATTTAACGCTGGGACTAATATTTTTATTCAACGGATTCGTCTTTATCGCCAAACTGAGTTTGGAAAAGTTGTGGTTGAAATTAAGTCTGTTAAGAGGCACATTGAACGTGAATTTGTTCGTTTAATTTTGGGGGAAAGATTGAGTGTTGGATGGTAATTAAAATTTTTTTTACTTTTAGTAAATGAATCTCTTGGGACAATTTACATACCATTTACACACCATTTTAGCAATATTTGCTTCTTTTAATCTGCTGATCTCATTATAATAAATATGTATACCCCTTGGGATTGAATGAAATCGTAAGGGTTACCTTAAATAGGAGGTATCGGGTTAATAGAGGGTATATTAAATATTTTTCAAGTATATGATAATAATATGTCCACTTAATGCGCAACAAAATTTTAAAGAACGGATCTTAAATATAGGTCTAATATTGTGTGTATTTTATACCGTCTGACTTCACTATAATATTGTATGCCCTAATGCTAATACTAAGATTTAAGATACGTTTTTGAAGTTGTGGTTAGCCACTAGGTTGGGAAAGGTGCCTAAGCGATAGCACACATAAATAACTTGGGTTTTGACATAAAGGATCAAGTTTGATTTTTAAGGTACTGGCTCTATATAGAATTCAATACTCGAATATGTCAATCAGAACTTGAAGGGACTCATTGCTTTCCAGGCCCATTGCTTTCATCTGATTCAAAAGAATCTTCCTCTTCCCTTCCCTCCCGCCAATTAGCTACCGGATTTTCTACCAAATTTGAACCAAATTTTGCTCGGACCTTTTTCCCAGGCTGGGACGATCCTTCAATTCGTTCAACATTTAATTTATCTGTTCAACATTTTTCTGACACAAATATTTTATTCAACACATCACCCTTACCCAACAAACAAAATGTTTCTACAAATAATTTAATTAAATTGACACGTTTTGAAACAACTCCCCCAATGCCTCTATATTTATTTGCAATAGCCACTGGGACTTTTAAACCTATACAAGTTGTGACAACAAAAACTAATTTGAGTTTAAATATTTGGAGTAATAATCAAGATTTATTGACTGCACATTTTGTGGCTAATTTTTCACCTATTATGTTTGATAAATTACAAGAGGATTTTAATGTAGGGTTTTTAATTTTAAATTTAATTTTAAAATGAAATGTAAAATGGAAGCAAGTGTTGGTTTTGAAAAGAAAATGAAGGAAAAAATAAAGGAAAAAAATTAGAAAGAAAAAATGGAGTCGAGGTTGAAGGGGTGTTATTGGAGAAAAACGAACGTTGGTTGATCGCTTATAAAATAGCTAAAAATCAACTTGAAAATGTGAAATTTGGTATAGATATCCGAAATAGGATTAACTAACATACCTAATAATTTCAGAATTTTTGGTTTAGAATTTCAAGAGTTATAGGAAAAAATGCGGGTAGGGTTGAAGGAACGTTATGGAGAGAGATGAACGTTGGTTGATCGCCTATAAAATAGCTAAAAATGATCCTAGAAATATAAAATTTGGTAGAAATATCCGTAATAGAATTGTCTAACATCCCTAAAAATTTCAGAATTTTTGGTGCAGAATTTCAAAAGTTATAGGTATAAATGTCCTAATTTTCTTAAAAAACCCCTTTTTCTTGTTCCTGAATCAGAATATGGGAAATACTCATCCAAAAATTCTGAAATTTTCAGAATAATTAGAGAACATTATCACAAATATTAGTTCAGAATTTGAAATTTTTATAACATAGAGTGATTTCTTTATGAATTTTCTCCCAAGCATTATTTAATTAATTTCAATATTTTAAAGGTAAAATATCCACTTTCAAAATTAGATATTTTTATAACACCAAAATATCCCGTTGGAGGAATGGAAAATTGGGGACTAATAATTCTTCATTCTGATAATGTACGTATTTCAAATAGTGACAGTAGTTTACCTATTAATGATGATTTTATTGACTCATCAAAGGAGGAGAAAATTAAAGAACAAAAAAATGTTCAAAGACAAAATTTGATAGAAATTGATAAATTAGCTGAAAAATATAAAATTGAAAAATTGATAACACACGAATTAATACATCAATGGTTTGGAAATTTAGGTGAAATTTTCTTTAAATACTATCCCCCTCACCTTTATTTGAGTTTCCTCATTAATGCAAATACGTTATATTTCCTTCTAAAAAGACGCATAATGGTCAGACTTACCTCTCCTTCTTTCGCCCATTTTCTTATGGCTCTTTTACGCCAAACTTCAAATCCTTAAAGGCCATAAAGAAATAACGAACTAGATGCCATAAACGAACTAGATGAGATTGAGGAAGAAATAAAGTCTGTCTATTATGTCTGACCATTATGCGTCTTTTGTGAAGGAAGATAAACGTGAAAAAACTAGAAATAACCTTGTTCTTTTGAAAAAGGAATGTAAATTTGAAACTCGAATAGGTAGATGTTGTTGGTAGAATACAGGAAAACCCCCTAATAAAATAATTTTTTTAGTCTCAATCTGGAATTGGGAAGAACTATGGCTAAGCGAAGGATTTACTTCATATTTTGTTTTTGATTTTTTAAATGCCCACAACCATCCCCAATTAACAGAACACGAATATTACTTAAAATTAATAGAATTAATTAATCAGCAATCGACAGATGGAAGATCCTCTTTAATTAAATTAATTACAAATTCTAAACAATTGGATAGACTTTTTGATAGTATTCAGCTTTACACTAAAGGAGCTGTTGTTGTTAAAATGTTAAAGGATTTGGTTGGCCCTGAAGTTTTTAGAACGTCGATTGCTCGGTTTTTGAGGGAAAATTCTTTTCAGGTAGACTATTGATGGATAGAGTCGGACACCTCGTTTAAAGATAAACTCTTTATAAGATGCTCCCAAATGGGTACACCTCTATTTAAGAGACGTTTAATAAATTGAATTAATTACTGGGGGGAGATTCCGCTTGAGGGATACCCTCTATTTAAGAAAGGGTATCACTATGAGGTACACCTCATTATAAAATACTCCCAATATTATACCTCTATGTAAGAGACCTCATTATAAGATCTTATTTTTATCGCCAGTGGTGTATCTTATAACGAGATCCGACTGTATTAATTAAAAAAATATATCAATTAATTTTCAAAGTCAGTAGATAGACGTTCACTTTGGACAGCCTTTCCAACCAATGCAGATCACGGAGCCGATACAATTCGATTAAAAGATGTAATGGAATCTTGGTTACTTAATAAAGGAATACCCGAGGTTGAAGTAAAAAGAAATTACGAGGATAAATCTATTAAATTGGAACAACAACAAGCTGATAAAAATAGACATTTAATTTATTTGGATGATGATAAGATGGGAAGAATGCGTTTAAATAAGAGATTTAAGAGGTATTTTTGGATAAAAAAATATTTCTAAATCGCAGTTGAACCTTTATAAGAACCCCTAAGTACCGAAAAAATAGTCTCTTATAATAAGATGTATGTTAAATAGAGGTACGCCACAAGAGACTATCACCTCGTTTCTTAAATAGATGTGTTTGTTATATAGAAGGTACATCTCATTATAAGAGACTTATCACCCAGTGGATAACCCTGTTTTAGGAAGGCGTCTCTTAAATAGAGATGTTTAAGGGTACTTAAATATGAGATTTTTTCAAGAATGTGGCAGATGGAAGAAGAGGAAGAAGATGAAATTAAAAAAGATGAAGATATAAATGGAATATTGCATTGGATGCTTGATGGATTAGAAGAGAATAATACTACAACAACAACAACAACAACAACAAGGGAAATTAAAAGAAGAAAGGAAAACAACAATAAAAACGTTCATTTAACCACCAAAAAACGCCAACTCCGCGCAGAAAGAAAAAAATTCCCAAATTACAATTTGTGGTCAATACCTTTTAGTTATTCTTTTGGTTCTGTTAAGTCTAAAAATGGGCAAATACTTAGGCAATTTTGGTTAATTAATGAAACTATTCGTTTTGTGGATATTGGTTTGAATAAAGACCAGTATTTGTTGGCTAATCCTCATTGGGTATATTCTTATAGGGTTAATTATGATATTTTGAATTGGAGAATGATTATAACACAGGTAATATAAAGTTGGGCCTCGTTATAGGATACACCCTTTTGATGAAAAAATAGTCTATTATAATGAGGTGTGTTTAAATAGAGTCTCTAATGTTGAGAGATCGATTACTCAAGATCTATTAAAGTGAGAGGAGTTCTTCGAAAGGCTCATAATGGTCAGAGGGTTAGAGGGTATCTCTTAAATGGAGTCTCCCCTACCCAGTGGCCAAATAAATTCAAAGAAATGTCTCTAAAATAGAGTGAGAAGAAATAGCTCATAATGGTCAGAGGGGTAGAGGGTATCTCTTAAATAGAGTGTATCGCTTGGACAGCTCTCCCTACTCAGTAGTGATGTTCGTGACTCTCAATCTCGGTTTCCGAGTCTGGAAATTTTCCGGGCTTTTTGAGGCTCGGTCTCGGGGTTGATTCCCGGTCTCGACTCTCAGCTTTTTTTAACTCCCGAACATCTCTACTACTCAGTAGAGATCGGCTCGATACGATTTTTCATCGATAATTATCGATATTTTTCGATATTTTTTTTCGATATTATCGAAAAAATATCGACCGAGAAAATTTTGACTTTTTCGATATTTTTCGATATTCGATATTTTTTCGATATTTATCGAAAAATATCGACCGACAAAATTTAAAAATCGAAACAATCGATCGACCAAATTACAAAAAATCGAAAAAAATATCGAACGTCATTTTTGCCAAAAATTGAATTTTTGGCGCCAAAAAGGATGCATTTTTGCTACTTGCACATCTGAAATTCAAAAAATTTTCGCCTGCGGCGCAAGAAAAGGAGAAAGGTTTCTTCTATATTCACGATTTAGTTAGCCAAAGCGAGATGAGTGAGATAATATATGGTACATAACACTGATATGAAAGATTAAGGGAAATTAGATTAAGGGAAATTTCTGTGGGTTAAGAGTAACTTGGTGGGATATCCGAAGATTTGGTGGGATATTTGAGATATCCAAGGATCATGACGGATCCAAGGATCCGTCATGGAAATAAATAATAAATCCAAGGATAATCGAATATTTGTATAATTTATAGAGGATTAATTGGGTAAAATGAATCTCGAGGGATCAAGACGGAGCATTGGGAGAGATGAATATCAAAACGGATATCAAATGCCAAGATTTTTTATCCTCTGATATCTCTTTATCCGCCGATATCCCTCTTAATCCACAAATCCCTTGATATCCCTCCTGATCTCACAAATCCACATTATCATTCTTTCTACTTGTTTATCTCTCGGTACACCTCAGTCCTTCAATATCCCCCTTAATTCCTTAAAATCCATTATCCCTAGTTAAAATCCACTTATATCCCACTTGATCCTTCAATATCAAATACAAGTCCAGTGTTATTACATTTAATCCGTCCAAATCCACCAATATCCCATTTAATCAATCTTAATCTCATTAAACTATTAGGTCTATTCTGTTATTCATTGGTTATAGAAAAATTTTTGAAAAATCGAAAAATATCGAGACTTTTTTTTCGATATTTTTCGGTTTCGATATTTTTCGATATTTATCGAAAAAATATCGACCGAGAAAATTTTGATTTTTTCGATATTTTTCGATATTCGATATTTTTCGATATTTATCGAAAAATATCGACCGACCTCTTCGGCCGATCTCTACTACTCAGTGGCAAAACAAATACAAATACATAAATGTCTCTTAAATAGAGGTGCATCCTATAAGGGATGTATCTTATAACGAGGTCCGACTATTTTTAAACAATAATTTAAACAATAACTTCCTCTATAGCTCAACAAAAATCACCTAGAAATCCCTTCAATGTCCAGAATTCAATTAATAGTCGATTCAGAATATTTTCTTCGAGAATCTCCACATCCCCATTTATTTGTTCAATTATTAAGGTAATTTAATTTAAAAATTTATTTTTCCCCAAAAATAAATTTCCAAGTTATTTATCAAAAGAACACGAATTAGGGGTACTTTTGGTTGGTCTAGATGCTCTACATTCTTTTTTGGAATTATTTTCTGCTAGCGAAGTTTTTGGTTCTTTAATTGTCCATTTATTACCTGTAATTTTACAACTGGATAAACAATTGGTTATTGCTGCTAATGAAGGGAACGACCCGGAAGTGGCTGCCCTTTGGCTGTTAAATCCTCTTAGGTTGGCAAAGCTGTATCAATTGAGGTGTTCAGCTAATTTGGGGACCTGTGCTGAACATAAACAGGTAATTTTAAAGAATTGTAGGGGCATTATAAAATTGGGCTGTATATGAAAGGAATGTATATATATACAGCCTAAAATTGATCTTTCATATACAGCCTAAAATTGATCAAAAGTCGAACCTCTCTTTTAGTTACCCCCTAGATCAAAAAATCTTATCTTATAACAAGTGCACCGATAGAGTGCCCGTAACTCTCTCTCTCTCTAAGCTTTAATCCACTTTAAGACACTCACTATAGGATATCTCTTTGGGCTGAATAGGTCATACCTTATAAAGAGGTGTACTTTAGATTGGAGTATTTGCCAGTGGTCAACAGGAACAAGACTGGTTTGATACGAAGCCGAAACCCAGCCTTTTTTCAACCCGAAATCCGAAACACTCAGAAGAAAATTTTAAAACTTTATCTGAACCCTTAGCAGACTTTTTTCCTCAATCCGTCCCATACCTTTTGGCCAACCAAAATTTAGAAAAAAGTGACTCTTAAACTGTAGGAGGTATATCCCACTTTTGGGCTATCTAGAACAAGTTTTGACTTTATTTTTAAACAGGTCCATAAATGGTTATTATACCCAACAGCTTTAACCTCCGACAATTACCAACAATTAACAGCAATTTGTCATCATTTATTTAAACATTCTGATAATTCCGAATTAAATTTATTGTCTAATTTACTTAAACAACCCCAATCTGTAGCTTTACATTCAGTTATAAGACATTTATCTTCACGATGTGTTCAAGACGAAAAATTAATTAAACAGGCTGTGCTGGATATTATAAATACTAGAAATGCTATTATTTATTCGAATTCCTTAAAGGTGGATATTTTTAATAAATACTCACATTATAAGAGACCTCTGGGCTGTTGAAATAAATAGTCTCTTATAATAATGAGATTTATCTTAAATTAGAGAAAAGGTCTTATAATGAGGTGTATTTTAAATAGAGTGCATCGCTTTGGCAGCTCTCCCACCCCTTTGCCAACACAATTTATAAACGACTGTCTTTTAAATAGAAGTGTATAGACATTGGGTGGGACACGCCCAAGTAGGCGCGCGGCCAGGTAGGCGCAAAGCCATAACTACCAGGAAAATTTCTGGCCCTTGTCAATTTTGGTACCAATCTCTTTAGCTCGATGAGAGGAATCGTTTAAGCTAAATTTTTCAGATTCGAAAATCTTGAAGCAAGTTATGGCTTTGCGCCTAAATGGCCGTGCGCCTACTTGGGCTGTACCCACATTGGGTGTATCTTATACAATCTGACCTCGCTATAAGATACCCCCAGAACTAAATACACACCTCAATTTAAGAGACGCTTTTTAAAATTTGGTTAGCAACTGGGTGGAGGAGTCAACTGGGCGGAGGAGTCTCCTCTGTTTAAGATACACTTCATTATAAGGGACTATTATGTGATACCCTCTATTTAAACTCCACCTCATTATGAGGGGCTATTAAGCGATGCCCTATATTATAAGAGAATTCATTATAAGAGACCATCCCTTCAGTCCCAAAGGGGATCCTATAATGACATTTCCTTGTATTTTAATTAAAAAAAATATTTTTCCAGAACAGTTACACTCTAAATTACAACAAAAAATTTCGAGAAATTTTTTGGACACTACTATCCACCCAATTAAACATCCAAGAAAGGCAAATACTTTTTGCCGTAAATACAGGAAAGTCTGACCGAATGGCTAGAAATTTGCTTCATTCAGTTCACTCTTTGGGTGAATTAAATTTAATTGAAAGAATATTGCTAAATCAATGGCCAGATAAATTACGATTAGAAATTGTTTGATTTTTTTGAATTTTTAAATTAAATTTTAAAAATTTAAAAAGGATTATCTTCGAAGAAAATTTTCTTGGATTGAAAGAGAAGGAAATGAATTAATTAGAAAATACCTCATTAGAGAAACACACCAAAGGATTTAATTTAAAAAAATAATTACTATTTATATTTGTACATTTACATATATACTACATCCTTTTTTATCCCCCCCCCCTCTCCTTTCCTTTAAAAGGCTCATTATGTTCAGTAGTGTCGGACGGTACGCGGCGGTATTTTATATATAGAATAGATATATAGAATACGATACGGTCAGACTAAAGCTTAACGGTAAATTTATATGTTCGGAATCAAACCGAAGAACTGAGGATTTTTGATGTTCTTCGGATATGTTCCGAATATCATAGAATCTTCCAGTTGACCTTAGTTATCATATCCGGATCTGAAAAAATTCCAGATACCACGAAACTTTACGGATCGTATTTGAAGATATTTGAAGGTTTCCCACGATCAATCTTTTCTTTAATTAAAGGGAACTTCATCAAGTAGGATACTTTTGTCCATAAGTTTGTTCATAAAAATTTTTGGGAAGGGTCACTCATTGATATATTTATTTTTTTTCTTAAATATTTTTATTTACAATTAATATTTTATGAAATAATTTGTTAAAATTTCTAACCTTTTTTTAATATTTTTAAAAACAATTCAAAATATTTTTTTAATTTTTATTAATAAATTAACAAATTTACAAAAATTAATTTTAAAATGCAAGTCTTTTTAAGCTTTTGTAGATTTTACAGGCTTTTTTGTCAAATTTTTATTTTTGTTGGATTTATTTAAAAAAAATTTTATTTTCGTCCACCATAACCATAATTCCCTCCTCCCCCTCCAAATGATGGCATACCACCTCCTCCAAAACTACTTCCCCCTCCGCTGCTGCTAGATCCACTACTCCATTGGCTAAAACCTGAAAATTAAAAAAAAATTATTTTTTTAATTAGAGAAGTGTGCCAATCTGCTACAAGCCTCTCCGTCTCAGAGCATAACTTTTCTGGAGCTTTAGTATAGTTTATAGATTCATATAGTCTGAGTTTTATCGAACAATGCTTAAGCCGTTATTGAACCCCCCCCCCCCCCCCAATGGCTTGCTTACAACCACGACTTAAATCACAACTTTAAGTCCAGTGGTTTGTCAGTACCGTTCGTCCTCCTCTACCTATATGACCATAACCACATTCAGACAAATGAATGCTTGAACAAATATCTCGGTTATCGGAAATATGTAGTAATTTTTTGATATTTTGAATCTCATACTGCTCTTCCAGACAAGCTCTGCGACAGAGTGTGCTCGCGGATGACCAGATTATGCCCCTCTAAAAACCTGATTGTTGAGATTGCTGAAAGCCGCCCCCACCTAATCCACTTGTTCCAAAACCTCCTCCACCCCCATAACCATAACCACACTCAGACAAATGAATGGCAATAATTAAGAAAAGTAAGGGAAGCAAAGTTTTATACATTTTTAGACTTGAAGAAGAATTAGCTTTCTAATTAATTTTTCTCCTAAATTTATTTCAATTTATATATTTTAATTTTTAAGTAAATGAATAAGAAATTCGCCAATTAAAAAATTTATTTTCCTTAATAATTTAGCGAACGTTCCAGTTATGTTACGTAAAAGAAGAAAGATTATTAAATATTCATTAAATTATTGTTTGCTAATAAATAGCCTTATTACTCTCCATATTTGTACGAATTCTCCAAAAAAGTTGGGTAATTCAAATAATTAATTATGCCTGTCTATGTAAAGGTTATTGGAAATTATTGAAGAAAATAGGGTGAGTGAGCAATAGATTGAGAGAGAATGAGAGTTTGCGAAATTTCGAGTTTCGAGATTTTTCTTTCGCCTTTTTTGTCTTCTTACTAGTGTCGCCGGAACCGCAAATTTGGCCGAAACTGGAACTGCCATTTTGACCGGATCCGGAATTTGAACTTCCGGCGAAGCCATACTTCTTTTCGAGTTTCGAAGATTTTTTCGAAGACATCTCAGATTCTAATTACCTAAGGGGCATTCAAAAGATTACAAAATAAACGTATAGTAATACATGCAACTGACCTACAACATATAGTTCCATTGAGCTTTAATTTAAAAAAGATTTAGGTATGTAAAATTTTGAACTACAGTGTATATCCAAATTAAAATAAAGATAGGTAGCTGATTTTTATCTCATATTTACCATAACTTATTGTCTCTAATCTATTTTTCAAAGGGTCTCGTTGTGGGACTTCTAATAGGGTTAATAGGCTTCTAATGGGCTTTATTAGAAACAACAAGGAATTTATTTTTAAATTAATTTTTATATAACACAATTTTTATTATTTACAATGCAAAAATGTGAATTAAACAAGTCATTGTTTATGGCTCAAGAATAATTGACCTCACAAAAATTTTCAGACTTTCCAAATAAAAATATTTAAAATCATTATATAGACAATTGTAATACATACACGTTTTTTATATATTTTTAGCTGAGTGATAAATTGATTTGATTGATATTGGATTGATTGAATGATTGATTTATATATACATATATACACGTGTATTAGAAATATATATTTAAAGATACAATTCTTCCCCTGAAATGTTTAAAAAAATTTTAAATAAAATTTGATAAAATCAACTTGTAAGCATTACTCATCTTATTTTCTTTATTCCATAAAAAAATTTTTTTTGTGTTCCTCCTTTTTTTATTATTCCCAAGTATCCCCTATAGTTGACATATTGGAGCTTGCTTAGTTACCTAGTTGACATAAAAGTTAAATTCACAAGTTAAGGAATAGAGCCGGCTAGAGATCCTCTTTTCAAAATGCTCATAATGGTCAGAATAAAAATTTCACGACTAAATATGTTATTGGCTAAAGCCGAACCGAGTCTTAGAACCAAGGATTTCAGGTCGGCTCTTCGGTTCAATTCAAAATATGCAAAGACTTTTCAAGAACCGGAACCCTATTTTTACAACTACGTATTCTTTAAGGATTTCATTTTATTCAAAAAAATTTAATCCCTTGAAACATGCCAAAAAAATATAGAAGAGGAAATTTTGAAAAAAAAGAGGAAGTTTCCAATCTGTTTTCAATCTCGAAATTAAAAAAAATATTTTTTAGATGAGCAATAAAAAATAAAAAAAACGGGAAAAAATGGGGATTTGGGCTTTTTATAAAGAAAATATATAAAAAAATTAACAATTCGCTTTTTCTTTTTTACAATTATCGGATTAAAGAAAGGCAAAAAATAACCTTAAAAATAAACATAAAAATATATAAATTTAAAACAATTTCAAAACCCTCTCTTTTTTATGTGTTAGTCAAGGGTGTGTTGGAACAATTGGAGGTGTCGGAAATTGGAAAGTTGGCACGTGAAAGAATCAGGAACCTGAAGGAGAATGAAGAGCCGAAAACCGGAAAAATCGGAAGTGGAAGAGAACCCGGAACTAGTTGAGGCCCGGAACCTGTTCAAATGTTAGGATCCAGAAATTTCTAAAAAAAACTTTATAGAAAATTTTCGAAATGAAGGAATAAAAAACAGCAAATCAAAAGGCCGCAATCGGAATTCCGACCCGTCTTTGCTAGACTTAATATGGTTGTCAGGTCGGAACCGAATCAAAAAATACGAGGATTTTCGATTCGGTTCCGGATATACGAAGATTTTCTAAGAAAAGACAACCCTATTGATAAATGCTAGGATTGATTTAAAACCCACGATAAATAAGGTAACGACATAAACCAATTAGAATAAGGGAAGGTTTTGTTCAAATAAAATTAAAAATTAAAAACTAAAAACAAAAATAGTAAATTTTGTTGATTAAAAAAATATTTTTTTAATATAAATTTAAATATATATCAATTATATATATAATCTGCCTTTTTTTATAATTTTTAACCCTGCCTGTTTTCTGTACCCCGTTTTTTCTTCTCAAAAATAAAATTATATAAATATTTATTTAATGATTAGTTTCATGGCCAGGAGAGAAACTTGATTGATCCCATTGGATAACTGGCGATAATTGATTGGATAAACTTCCTCCATGTTGAGACATTAATGGGTCTTGACCTTGTAGTGGTCCTCTCTGAATTTTAAAGAAAAATTAAGACCTCATTATGAAATACTTTCAATGCTAAATACACCTTTTATAAGAGACGGTCATGGAATGGGACGGGCTGAGAAATAAGTCGGGTCGGGTTTAGGGTTGTCAAAATTTTCCTCGGAACGGGCGGAAAAAAGTCCGGGCTTCGGGTAACCCGTCCCATTTAAGAGAAAGTTAATTATGTTGGTTGCTGATTGGTTGGTGAACTGCCTAGGCAAAACTCTCTATTTAATCAACACCTTATTATAAGGTACAATTCTTCAAGCCTGCATCTTATAATGAGTACACCCTCTATTTAAGAGACCTCTCTTTAAAATTTGGTTGCCGACTTGAGGGAGGAATTTCCTAACCAACACCCTCTATTTAATAGACATCTTGTTATAAGGACATACAATCTTTCCAAATCAAGGGTGTACTGATGTGGGGTCTAATTAATTGCAATACTAGAACACCACTATCTAAGAGACGGTTAATTAAAATTTGGTTGATACTCTAAAGGGAAGAGAGTTTCCTAGGCAAAACATTATATTTAATCCTCCTTATAAAGACGATTTTTCATGCCCCAAAATAAGGTATAATTATAATTGTTTACATGTTGAAAAGCAAATTCTTCCATATTCAACTCCCCATAATTCCCAGAATTAAATATTTGTCCCAACTGTGTTTGTGCATTCCAATTTGACATATTAGAACCTTAAAAAAATTATTTTCTTTAAAAAATCTCCTTAAAAACACACCAAATTCCATAGGTTGTTGTTGTAATAAATTTAAAGTATTTGGCGTTGTGTTATTCGAATTATTGTTGGCTAGAACATGCTGATTTAAATAATTAGCCATTTCTGTTGGAGCACTCCCAATTATAAAAGCTGCTGGGGAATGATGGGCAAATTGCTGTTGAATACTTGACATTTTTAGGAGAGACGCGTGACTTGATGTTGGACTGGCTATTTGCATTTCTTGAAGACTACAGGCTATTTTTGCCTTTAAAAATTGAAAAATATCTTGAATTAGACACCGACGAAACTCTTTATAATATACTCCATTGAGGAGGAAAATATGTCTCTTATAATGAGGCGTGTGTAAAAATAAGGGGACTGTTTAGAGGGCAATAACCCATACCTCTCAACCTAGTGGCCAAACCACTTTTAAAAAACGTCTCTTAAATAGAGGTGCATCTTGTATTAGGGTTACCTTATAGTGAGAGGTATGAGGAGTACCTTAAACAGAGGATATATCGATTATATGTACACCTCCTCAAACAGTGGTCGACCACATTTTCAAAGGTTTATCTTAGCGGAGTATCCATTATTGAGAGTATCTCATAATGAGGGGTCCGACCATATTTTGAAAATTTTTCCACCTGTGGAGTGCTCGAAGGAGAAAAATTTCCAATTAATTCCTCAGAAGGTTCTTGTTTTATACATTTTCCATGTTGTGTAGAAGATGGAAGGCAAATTGGTGGTGATAAGGCATTGGGTGCTGGTAATTTACATGGAGGTACATTAATACCGTTTTTCTCAAGTTGATTTTCCAAATCCTTTTTTTAGAAATATTAATATATTTTATTTCTTATCCAGTTTACGAGCCGTATAAGGAGGATATTGAGGTTTGGGGTCCTTAAAATCTCTTAGATTTGAGACAATGGGTCTTGAATAGTGATGTTTATAGCTTTAGGAGCTATTTACTCAGAGCAAGATTTTATAAAGGACGGAAATAGATCGCCCAATACCCCACCGGTCTTAAACTATCCTAGTTGATAAGGATACAATATGAAAGCATAAAATGGACTACTAGTACAATTTCATTATTAATTTACTTGAATTCTTTGAAAATATTGTTTAGCAAGTTCTTCCAATCTTGAAGTTTTTTGTTGATGTCTTTAAATTTAAAGAATAAATAGGTATATACTTTCATTTTTTAATTAAATGTTGGATCTCGCTAAAAGATACTCCCAGAGGCTAAAAAGTCGAAGGAATTTTAGAATAGATCCCTAAAACTTGGCGATTTTTTGACCAAAATCCAGACATTTGCCCATGTGTATGTCTAGGCTGTCCCTCTCGCACTAAGCTAGACTGAGATGCATCTAATAGTATTGGGAGTGTTTTATAATGAAATGTAACTCATATTGAAGTGATAGGTGGTATTGCTCAGATCTTCCAATCGACCACCCATTAAAAAGAAATCTCAAAATGGAAATGTTTGGAGGTATCTTATAGTGAGATCCGACAGTGTATGTATATTTAAAACAAAACCTAATCATAATTTCTCTATCTTTTTGTAATTGTCTAATATAATCACAAGAAGCTTTAAGAATTGTACCTTTATTTAATTTCATTTCTCTGTAAATTTTAAAAAATTTATTTTTAAAAAATATTTAAATTAACTCAGCAGTCGATTTTGGAAGCATTAAACCCAATTCTTTAATTCTATCGTTAATATTATATCTTCTTCTTCTTTCAACTTTAAAGGGATTTTATTTTTAGAAAATTTTTTTTAATTTACTCATATTGTGAATATCCTTTTTACGTCTATCCTTGTATATTTCAACCTCTGTCATATTCAAATCGCGAGTAACTGCTTGCGATCCTCTTCCATTTACAGCAGCAGGACCACTGCCGCTTGTAGAAACACCAGCAACGCCTCTTCTAATAAAATTCCTGAAAAATTTTATTTTTAAGGAACTTCAAGAGTGCGAAGGTATAGGTTACTAACTCTAATACTAGTAACACCTAACATGCAACCAAGGGATACCGTATATCAGACAAATTTCGATATTTGACAATACAATATTTTCAAGCTTGAAAAAATCGAAGTAATTTTTCGATCATCTAATTAAGCACGGTCTCTAATGATGTTTGTATTGATATACGAGCTATGAGGGGAAAGGCTCTAATTTTGTATTTTACTCGAAATTTGAAGTCTTAAACTGACCACCAGAGGTGGGTCGGAACAGTCAGAGGTGTCGGAAATCGCAAAAGCCGGAAATCGGAACTGGCTCAAATGTCGGAACTCGGAAATCGGAAATTAAATTTTTTTCGGACATCGGAAGGAAAAACCATCGGAAATCGAAATTCCGACTCATCCCTGCTGACCACAACTCGCACCTAGATAGCCTAAAAATCTTTTTACAGACCTAAGAACAATTTCGCGTAATTTCGTTTCCTTTTTAACTATTCCTTTTTTTCTTTCCCCTACAAAACTATTATGTTTTCTCTTCAAATCCGATTTTTGATTATTTAAAGCCGAGTTTGTATTCGTATTTATTGCCGTATTTTCCCCTATTTTAACTATTCCATTCTCCATTTTTTCAAAATTACTATTTTCATTATTTTTCCTCCCCTTATCTTCTTCTTCCCCAACAACTTCACATTCACTTTCCTCTTCCTCAGACTCATCCTCCTCGTCTTCATCCTCTTCCTCTATTGTTAATTCTCCCCCTTTTTCGACCTTTCCATTTTTATTTTTAACAAATTCCTCCATAGGAAAATTATTTTGTCCATTACTAATGTTTATTTGAGGTATTACATACTCGATTTCACATGAGGTTGGTGCACTTGAAGATATAATTTGACGGAAATCGTTATCATTTTTGGGACTGTACAAAGCAAAACCACCACCTCCGGCTGTTTGAAAGCCTGGGGAACCGCTTTGAATTGAGGCATTCTTTAAAATTTTAAAAATACTTTTTGAGTTTATGAGAAAAGAGACTAACAGAAGAATCTCGGCTACAAGCTGTTGACAAAGGAATTGGCCGACTTGAATGTTGTTGTTGTTGAATAGATGTTGGACAGATATAATTATTCTTTGAAAAAAAATTGAAAAAAATTATTATCAGTAAAACGGGATTGAGTTTCAAAGGTTTAGGAGGAGGGATCCAGCGGAATTGATCCCATAAACTCCCGTATGGTATCTCTCCAATGCTAATCTCTAATATATAGAGGAGGGCTATCCTACCCTATATAAAGGGTATCGCTTGGCCAGTAAGGTTGTCGGATCCGGATCAGAAAAAGGTCAGATGTCCGAAGATACCCAACTATCTGACAAACTTATTAGCCAGCTCCCTCACCTATTGGTTGCCCAAATTTTAAAAAAACGTCTTTTAAACAGAGGTGTATCCAGCATGAAGAGTAGCGTATAATTAGGTCTATTAAGGTCGTAACTTATAATGAGGTGTACATTAAATAGAGGGTATAACTTAGCCAGCTCCCATACCACTTGAACTTAAATTTAACGTCTATTATTGAGAGTATCCTATAGCGAGGTGACGGTAATTCTTGCGTTCGTACCCCCCCCCCCCCCACCTCCTTTTTCCTTACTCAAAGTTTAAAAAATGGTCAGTCTTCTTAGGGTACAGAATCCGTCGAGCGGTGTCGAATGACACCAAAATCAACCCCCAGTCTTAACTTAGGGCCGAGATACAGACAAAAACTGCAAAGCGAAGGGTTTTGCAACAGCCTCTCAATGATGACAATAGTATTATTTTATGTCATAACTTTGTCAAATCTTGTTCAATTATGTTGATTTTGATGTCATTCGAATTAGCTCGACGAGTTCTATAACCTAAGACAGACTGACTATTTTTTAACACTTTGAGGAAGGAAAAAGAGGGGGGGGCACGAACGCAAGAATTACCGAGGTTACTTTAAATCCTCAATATTTTTTCATTATAAACCTGTATTATTATTACCTGTCGATTATTAGCTTGTTGTTCCCCTTCAAGAGAAAGTATTTCATCAATTATGAATTCATCCAACTTTAAAATTTAAGGAATATTTTTTAAAAAAATAATTTTTAAAAACCTGTTGTTGTTGTTGGCTTTCTGTATTATTTTCTATTCTTTGTTGAGATGAATGTTGGGAATTTTGTTGTTGTTGTTGGTGTTGGAGGAAATTTTGAAGCATTTTAAGGGGATATAGTTTCTTTAGATGAGGAAATAGTTGATAGGAAATTGATTGAAGGAAGGATATATATTTTTTTAATATTTATAATTCTACATAATATTAAAAATATTATTTTTAAAAAAATAATTATATTTAGAAATCTAACTTCACTATATGAGATACTCTAACTTCTAGTGATGTTCGGGAGTGAAAAAGAGTCGAGAGACCGGGAATCAACCCTGAGACCAGACCAAGAGTCTCGAACATGACTACTGACTTCTAGATACCGGGGAATCTCATCGTCATGATTCCCGAAATAGGCAATTTGTTTAATGTAGCAAGAACAATGCTGAATGCAGCAAACTTCCTGCTTCTATACCCTTCAATTTAAGAGATTTTCTTTTTAATTTGTTAATTAAAAGGTGAATGCTATGCTTGCATAAAATGTTTTGCGTCTTGCGATATAAAATAAAATTTAAAAAGAGAAAAAGATCGCGCGCGACCTTTCCCTCGTCCTTTCCTTATTATCTTGCCGCTCAAGACGCCCGCGTTCTTTGTGTAAGCATAAGCAGATTTTACGATACATCTCATTAAAGTTGACGTTTCTTGGGAAATCCCCGGATATCCGGAACCGATAATCGAACCAAAAAGTTTCTTGATACGCGGACGTGTTTCAGTTTTAGATACATGAAACCTTGAACCCTACGCTTCACTATAAGTTACGATTTTTCTAGCTCCAAAAGTCTATCATATCAAGGATGGTCTTATAGTGAGTCTTGACTGAAATATCTCTTAAATTCTAAAAATCTCTAAAAATCTCTCTCTTAAATTCTAAAAATAATATTTCTAATTAAATAATTTAATCTTAGAGGTATCTATAAATAAATTTTAAATTTTTAACCAATTCTTATTATTTTTGGATTTAAAATTTAGGGATTAAATATCACTTTTTTTAAATAAAATTAATTACAATTTTAAAAAAGCTTCCGGATTTCCCAATAATTTTTTTATTTATTGGAAACTTGTTTTAGTCAACTTTTTAATTGTTTCTTTGATTTTCGTGATAAAAAGTTTGTGATTTTATTTATTTGAAAAAAGGCCAGACGTAATTAAAAAAAAACTAAAAAAAGAACCAATAAAAATTAACAAAAATGGTCTTTAGTTTTTGTAGTAGAGTTGACTTGGAACAAGAAAAAAAAACTGGCTAATTCAAACAAACAAAAAAAATTATTTGATAGTTGGGAATGGAAATTTCAGCAAAATTAAAATACAGTCGGTTTTTTAAATAACCCCCCAATATAAATACCCCCGATATAAGATAACCTCTATTTAAAAATTATTGGGAAAGAGCTGGGTGGGGGAGTATGCCCGAAAATGAGGTTGGGTGGGAGCAGAGGTGGGTCGGAACAACCAGAGGTGTCGGAAATCGGAACTGGCTCAAAAGTCGGAAATTGGAAATCAAGTTTTTTTCGGAAATCGGAAGGAAAAAAACGCCGGAAATCGAGAGTCGGAAATCGAAATTCCGACCCATCTCTAGGTGGGAGAGCAGCCTAAACGATACTCTCTATTTAAGATACACCTCGTTATAGGAGACTAATTTTAAAAGCTCCAAAGAGGTATATGTATAAAAACAAGGCTTTTAATTAGTTGACTAATGAGCTGGGGAAGTTTCCTCAACGATCTCCCTCTGTTTAATCAACACCTCGTTATAAGGTATGATTTTTTAACCTCCAAAAGGGGATATAAAAACGAGTTTAAAAAGGATTGTAGTGAATTTAAAAAATAAAAACAAGGGAAAAATCAATTTTAGGAAAACTTGGCAAAATAGTTATACCTACACAAATAATTCCCAAAATAATTCCCACATATTCTAATATTTCACATAAAATCTTTAAAAAAACTTGGCCAAATCAATTAATTTTAAGAGAAAATTTGAGGAAAAAGAAAAAAAAATAAAAAATATTTTTTTTCAGAAAAAAACAGGGGGAACATAAAAATTATTTTAAGAGGAAAAAATAGAGAGAGGGCTCTCTATAGACAGGGAAAGAGTGTGTCTATTATTGATTGACGACCCCTAAAGCGCTGTTGCTGTGTTTGTTCTCCCCCAAAAAAGAGAGCAGCAATATTGGAAAAAAAACGTCGTCCAAAGGGGAAAAAATTTTGTGTTTGCCGCTCCCAGCCTACCCTTTCAAATTACTCTAACTAACAACTAAAAAATATTACCAGTCGCCAAACATTCCCTCCCCCCACTCTTTCCTTCCCTTTTGTCTACCAAAAACTGATATTTATCCCCTCTCATATTTTCTATATTTAATGTGTTTTGTGTGTTTTTTTATATTTCTTTTAGAAAAAAAAAGAATTTCCCGACAAATTGGCAGAAGGCCAAAAAAATTTTTATAAACGTCGATAAAACCGACTACATAATATGGAGTCTGTTGGGTAATGACAGCCAGAGTGAAAAAGAAGGGAAAAATAAAAATGGCGTAGTCGACGTTGACAGAAGAGAGAAATAGCAAGAGAGACTAAAGGCTGTCAATAAAAACAAAAAAAGAAAAGAAAAAGAGAAAACAGCAAAAAAATTTTTTTAATTGATCAAACGGCCGTTACTGGTTGGCAGGAGAGAGGGAGGGGCAAAATACCGACCGACAACACACCGTCCGACAACTCACCGTCTGGACATTAGGGTAGTCCACATTAACAGAAAATAGAGTCGATTCACGTTAATTTTATATTATCTTGATATCTTTAAACCTTAAGGCTATTAGGCCTTGGTTATTTCAGATTTGCTTACTAAAATAGACGGCATTCCTACTCAACTGTCCAAACGGTGTTTAGTCTGACGGTGTTTTGTCCTTCACCCATGGAAGAATAGTTGGTAGAGCAGTCCACCACTAGCAGTGTTCGTTTCCCCATAAAAGCTCAAAGAGCAGGCTGGTGTTTAAATAAATAGTTAGTTTAGTGTTGTTTTAGGACCAATTTTTTTATTTTTTGTTAAGAAAAATGAGATGGATTAGAAAGAAAAAGGGAAAAGTTTTGGCCAAAGATGAAGGACATTTTATTACTTTTATCGTAATATTTTTGGAAATGTTTGAAAAAGAGAAGGGGAAAGAAAATGGTCGAGTTTCTGATAAATTGTTTTTGGGCGATAATGTCAACTAAAAACTATGAGAGAGGAGTAAGGGGGGAGGGGGTATATAAAAATATTGCTTGTGTTTGATAAATGTTTTAGTGATAGTAAAAATAGTAAAAATATTGGGGAGGTTATTTTTGGTATTTTAACAAAAAAAATTTTTATTAAAGGAAAAAGAGTAAGGGAGAAAATTGAGAAATGATGGCCTTGATAAGAGAAAATTGAAAAAAAAATTTAAAAAAAAGGAAAGGAGAGCAAGTAGGGAGCGGCCCATATTTTGCCAATACACATTTTGCCAATAAGGCTAAAATTTCTCGTTTTGTCAACAAACTTGTGGCAAAATGTCGAGTTTTTGCCTTATTGGCAAAATGTGGTATTGGCAAAATGTCGGAGGGAACGGTGGTAAAATTATTTTTATATCTCACCTCAATAATTCTTCCTCTTCCTTTACTTTCTAAAATTAAAAAAATCTGGCTCAATAATAGACGGAATAAAAAAAATTTTTGTTGAAAGGGATTTACTAGTTTAAACAAAATCTTTTTTTTTAAAAATAAGTGAGGAAATGCGCGGAGGAAAAAATATTTTTTTAATTCCTCTTTTTTAAAGTGTATTAGTGTGTGTTTAGACAAACATGTGTGGGGGACACCCTTTTAAGACTTTTTTTTCTTTTTAGTCAATATTTTTTGAAAAATATTTTTTTGAGAAAAAATCAAAATTTAGTCGCAAAATTGTTTAAAATTAAATTTTTTTAATTATAGAAGAAATTTGATTTTAAAGGAGAAAAAAAACTTTTAGGTGAGTTGAGAGAGTTTGAGAGAATTGAGATTTTCTAATATAACGATCTCGATTCTCGGGCGACACTCCCAATCCAGTCTCTAAAAAATACCTTTGAATTTACAGGCAATATATGTATACCTCTTAATTTGCTTCTCTTCAGTGCCCATAGTATAAGAACCCGGTCAGAGGGCCATGGGCTATTTGACCATGACTGCTTGGACCATGGTTAAAACGAACATCGTTATGTGACTCAAGGTTATTGTAGGTCAGTAGAAGAACCACGTGGCCTTACCAGCTTCATAAGGTCAACTAACCACGAATTACCTTCTTATACTAACTACCGTTGCAAGGCGTGCCACCTATTTAACTGCTTACATATTTTTGTAAAAATAAAATATTTTTTATTCTAGTTATGGTAAGAAGGGAAAGGAAAGGAATTAAAAAAGCCTCTTTCTCGACAAAATATTTTAATTTGACTTTTTCTGTCATATAAAATAGTTAAAAATGCGCAGCGTGTCCAAGTACATATAAGAGGTATAGTAAACAACTACATAAAAAAGCGAAAGAAAAATTCCTTTCATGGAACGTCAGCCTAGTCAAACCACGTGGAGGCTGGTCCCTGGCAGACGACCAAAGATGGACGTGTAGAGTTTTATAAAAAGGGGGAGAAACTAAAGAGGGGCCAATAGCTGGGCTGGGAAGGACCTCGTGGCGGGGAAGGCCTTCGCCAACTGTTTGCTTTTTTTTTATTTTTTTTATCGTTATAGAGTTCATCACAATGATGATTTTGTTTTAAACACGAGTTTTATCTATTGAGAAAAAAAGAAAAAATTTTTTGCTGATAAATATATGGGGGAGGGGCATTACACCGTCCAGACAAAATGTTGTCTGGACATTGGAGTGAAATACCGTCCACTTTTACAGACTATAAATTCGATTTATGTCGATATTACCGTATTACATTTATTTGAATGCCCCCTTAGGATGATTGAAAAATAGAATGCCCTCTCCAATTGAATGCCCCCCCCCTCTAATAGAATGCCCCTTTGGAAGTTGATTAAAAAAAGAATGCTCGGCATTCGATTACAGATAATACGATAAATTTTTTTTAACCCTGAGGCTATTAGGTCTTGGTTAGTACTCTTCTTGCCTAAAAATTTCATTTTAAAAGGGTTTACTCAAAGCGAAATTAATGGTGTCTTTTACTCTAATTGTGAATGGTGTTTTGGTCCGACGGTGTTTTGTCCTTACAATATTTGTGCGTAGTACATACTAGTAAGAGAATATCGAGAAAAGATTATTTTATTTAAAATAAAAATAATTTAAGAGAAAAATTTATTTTTAAATAATTTATTCAAAATTTAATAGAAAATTTCAGTAGAAAAAGTGCATTCCCTCGACCTTTGCTCGTTTATATTTTTGGAGGAAAAAAATTTAAAATTCAAGTAAAGCTAAAAATAAAAAATCTGAATAGATTTTTGGTAAGAAAAATGGCAAATTGATTTGTTTGTTTAAACTATAATATAAAAAATTTTTTTGGATAAAATTAAAAAGCAAAAATGGCAAAAGTTGTGTGTTTTGTATTTTTAATTAAATAAAAAATTTAAAAAATTAGAATTTAAAAATTTATTTTTAAAATGTTGGAGAACACGCTGGTTCAAAAAATTTTTAATTTTTAATATTCTTGATAAATTAGATTATTAATTAATTTTAATCTTTCTGTGATCTTTTGTTGGGGACTTGTATACATATGTCAGGAACACAAAATAAATTTTTAAATTAATTTAAAGATATTTAATAAATTTTAAAATTTTAATGGAATAATTAATTTTTTAATTAAAAAATAATTCTTCGAAAAATTTTTTTCTAAAAATTTTTTTCACCAATCTCCAATATCAAAATTTTGTGGAAAATAATAATTAGAACCAACACCTTTTTTCTTTACTTTCCAATCCCATTCAATTGAATCAATATTGGCGCTAGTTGATGGAATATTTATCTTTAATCTTCGAAACTAAAAATAAAAATATTTTTAAAAAATTTTTATTGTTTAAAAATACCTCAAATATATTATTTTCAAGTTGTGTTAAATCAATTCGATTTTTGAACAATACTGCGTACTTAAATTAATAATTAAAGTTTTTTAGTCAAACTAAGTTTTATATAATTTTGAAACTTTTTAAAAACAAGGTTTTTAGAAGCAAAGTTTAAATTGCCTAAACTTTGTTTTTGAATAAAGTTTTCTCTAAAAACATGTTTTTCTAGAAAAGTTTTAAACTTGTTTTTCTAGAACATGTTTCTTAAAACTTGTTTGTCAACTTGGTTTTCTTGTTTTTTTAAAACTTGTTTTTCTAACAACATGTTTGTTAAGAACGACCTTTAAACTTGTTCTGAAAACAAGTTTATAAAAAAAGTTTATAATTATTTAAAACTTTGTTTTTAGAATTGTCTAAACTTTGTCTTAAAAACAAAACGTTATAAACTTGCTTTATTATAAACTTGTTTTAAAAACAGGTTTAAATTTTTTGAAAAATGTCTCCAAAACAAGTTTTTACGAACAAGTTTTAGTAACAAAGTTTTATTTTAATTAATAATTAAATTACATATTTTAATTTCTCCACCGTTTCACTTGTTTTAAGCAATTTACTACAATTATGTTCTACCCTGATTCTTATTTTATGGCTATATCTATTAATAAAAATTTCTTAAAAAATTCTTAAAACTATTAATTAATTAATTACTTTAATGGCTCAAATTTTGCTTCATCTTCTGTTTGATTACGTGAAGGACAACTTCTTTAATTGAAATAATTTATTAATTTTCACAAATTTTAATTTTTAAATTACCGTTCGTTTAAAATGCCGCCAATAACGAATGACCCTTCTGACTTGTTAAAATTTATTTCACTAAAATAAATATTTTTAATTATTTATTTTGTCATTACCTTATAATTTTAGATTCGACTGTACATAATCGTCCAATTGCTCCCTTTAATTAATTCTATTAAGTTATTTATTAATAAAACATACTCCTGGGTGGTCCTGAATTAATTTTATATTTATTTCTACATTTTCATCTGAAGAATCACATTTAAAACATCCATCAATTAGAACAAGAACCTTGTCTGTTTTTATTTAATTTTCAAGTTTATTTACATTGTAATTTAAATAAATAAACTTATTTAAGATTAAACTTGAAAAGTTTATTTAATGGCAAACAAGTTTATTTAAAAAAAACTTTTTCTTAAACAAGTTTATTTAACTGAATTTTTATTTAACTGCAAAGTTAAATAAACTTGTAAACTTGATAAGCTGTAAAAATTACAAGCTTAATCTTAAACAAGTTTATTTTTTTTATTTAAGCTTAATCTTTAAAAAAGTTTATAAGTGTACAAGTTTAATAAACTTTGTAATTTAAATAAACTTGTTTAAAATCAAGTTGGAATCTTTCCTCAATTCCCAAGATTGCAAGTTTATTTACATTTTACAATTAATTTTCATATTAGATTTACAATTACAATTTTTTAAAAATTATTTCAAGATTACAATTTTAAATTAAAACCTTGCATATAATTCATTTGTTTTTCAATTATTGTTTTGGGATTATTTCTCTCCATAAAAGGAAGAGCTCCCTTAACACCATAACGCCCAAAGAAGTTAACTTTGGCGCAATAAGCTATTTGACTTTAAAAATTATTTTTTTTAGTAAGATAAAAATTCATTTACTCGTAATATTCTGTTCCACAATTATTTGAATGTGCTAGTTCATCAAAATAGTCTAAACAGTCAAAAAATTCTTCTTTTTCGTGTTTATCATTTACAATAATCTTTAAAAATAAATTAAATTTATATAATTTATTTTTTTAGACATTTCCATTTGCAATTTCTCCATCCAACAAACACTGACCAAATTCGTTAAATTCTATATTCAAATTGCCGTGAATTTTCTAAATTTTTAAATACTAATTTTTAATTAATGATTGTCTAATATTTTTAAGAATTTTTAAAATTAAAATTTAATTAAAATTATACAAATTAATTTTAACCTCTCCATTGTTGTCTAAACAATTTACAATGTTTATGCTTAAAATTTTAATTTTTAATTTAATAAATTTTATTTACTTCATATTATATGTAGTTAAATAAAATTATTTTAAGTTGTAAAGAGTTCCAAGTTTATTTTACTTTGTAATTTAAATGAACTTTTTTTAAAATTAAACTTGGCAAGTTTATTTATATGCAAAACTTGATTTTAAATAAGTTTATTTATCGCAAGGTAAAATAAACTTTGTAAAGTTTCATTTAAATAAACTTTTCAAGCTTAATCTTAAGCAAGTTTATTTAAATAAAGTTTTCAAGTTTATTTTTATGCTAAATTAATTAAACATTTCCATTTGCAAACTCAATAAGTAAAAAAAGTTTTAAGTTTGTCTTAGCCAAGTTTATTTAACTTTACAATTTAAAAAGGTTTATTTAACCTTGTAGTAGTTAAATAAACTTGTTTTAGAAAGTCTTGTAGTTTTGTAAAATTAAGTTTGCAAGTTTATTTAATTTTCCAATTAATTTTTAATTTAATATTAAATTTTACATTAATACAATTTGTAATATAAAAAATAATATTATACTAAGCAAATACATTTTAATTATTTTTTAAATTTTAGAAATATAAAACTAATAATTTTAAAATGACTTTCACTATTTAAAATTTTAATTTTTTTGTTATAAATTAATCATCAAATATTTTTACACTTTACATATATTTTTAATATTATATTTAGCTAAAGGTGACTCGACATTAATGTGTTAAAATTAAATCTGAGTTAATTTGAATTACACGTTCCATATAGGGTTGTCGGATAATGCGAAATCTTTGGACAACTGGATCCGATGTTTAAACTAAAATTTCTGGATATACGTTCTTTTTCAGAGACTTGTAATGGACATGGATTTTGCTATCCGGATATTTACGGCGTAGTCATTTTGAACTTATCTGTATCCATATCCGTATTAATCTGCTTTTTCGAATCTGGATATCCGGATCCGCCAACCTTATACATAATTGAGGGAAATATACCTATACCCTATTCTCAATTTACTTCCCTAGACTAATTAC